TGATGTTTGGGATCGAGCCTCCACAGGACTGCTAGCTTTGGTGACAGTGTGGTCCAGCCAAGGCCAGATGCTGACTGTGGTAGATTCAGAAATTTTAATTTCCTGGCTGGCGCAGGAAGAAGACCTGAATGCTAATTTATTAGTTTATGCTGAGTAGACTAGACAACTTCTGCCGGCCAGAGCCATCTTTCTGGAAGGAAATTAGCTTGGGAAGCCACATTAATAGCAGGTTTCATGGGAAGCTGTATGTCCAGCAAAGGGGATTGAGTGGCCCCACTACCATTTTTTCCCAGCATGGTTGCCTCTGTTCCCTTGGGCTGAGTCACCCTCTGCAGACACTGTCACAAACCAGAGCCACCTCCCTGCAAGGATCTCAAGATCCTCTCCACAGATGCTTGAAATTCTCCAGGGCTCTGGCTAAAGAGCTGTGTGGCTCCCAGTTCCCTGACACACTGCAGCCAACTGCTTCCCCCTTACAAGGCAGAGTGGAATTGGCAAACCCACATCTGAGCCAGGACCAGCACTGTGGTGTGGAAAAGGTGGCTGAGACCCAGAGGGGGCGGTGCTTGGCAGCAGCTCCTCCTGCCCTCCTGCTTGCAAGGTCTGGGTGCAGGTGGTCTTCACAAATTCAGGATAAATCTGTGAAAGTCAGCAGCTGGCTGGGCTCCCTGTAGAGCTCACCCACTTTGAACCTTTATACTCACATCATTTCCCTTCCAATGGCTTTTAACACGGAGCACTTCTCAAATGGGCAGCTGCTTTTGGAGTGAATTAGGTTTTAGGGTGATTGCTGCTTTATGTGAGCCAGGCAAATCTCTCTAGATATATTCTGTGCACATCCCAGATTGGCATGGGCTCCCTCAGGGACTTAGAGAGGTGCAGCCCAAATTTTCTTTATTTTCCAAATGTGCCCCTTCTGTCAGGAGGGTCAGATTTTGCTTTCCTGTGGTGCTCCACTGAGGACCATCTGCCAGGCTGAAATTCTTAACCCACCCCCATACCCTTTGCATTGTGACCAGTGAGTCTGTGCTCTTCTCAGGACTGTGCCCAGCAGAGTTTGGGCCTGTTGCCTGTTACAGTTTATATCTAGAAGTCCCCTGATGACTTTGAGAGGTGAAGCCCTGCAGGAGGAGGTAGATCATTGGAGGCGTGCCCCGAATGGTCTGTCTCCTCTTCTCTTGGTCTCTTTGCTTCCTGCTGCCACACCATAAGCTGTTTTTCCTCTGCTATGCTGCTCTGCCTTGGAGCCAGCTGACTATGGACTGAAACCTTTACACTTTATGAACCAAAATAAACCTCTCCTCATTTAAATTGTAGGTGTTGAGTATTCTGTCCCAGTAACAAGGAAAGCAAGCTCACTGTCTTCCAGCATGTTCTCTCCTGGGCTTCTCCAGGCACTCCAGGGATTCTGCCTGACTGCTCCTGGTGCTTGGTTGCCCTAGACTAGGAGACCGTCTGTGGAGGCTACCCTCTTCGGCTGCCTCTTGGCTTCTCTCTGCTCCTGAACATGAGGGTTGCATTGAAGGGTGGAGCTGATCACAGGAGATGCCCTTTAGAGGGCTGTGGATTCTGGGAAGCTGAGGGATAGGAAAGAGTGCTGGGACTGGGGCCAAGTTCTGGCCTCCAATCCTGGTTCTGAGCCTACTGGACACGGTGAGTCCAGAGCAAGTCAGCTTCCATGTCACGCATAACTGTTTTGGCTACCAAATAAGGAGTTGGAAAAGATGACCTCAGGGACCTTAAGTGTCATGCATTTGATGGAGTGGGCTGATATGGAGGACAGAGGGGACATCTCCTGTAGATATGAATTTACCCTCATCCATGAGCCGAGAGCTAAGCTGGAGAGATGGGAAATTGGTCTGCAGGGTTTGGTCTTTGCTGTGAGAGCAGAAGAGCTCCAGGTGCTGTTGGCAGGGCTGCAAGGGAAGCTCTGGGGAGCCGTGGGAGCTTGCAGACTCCTCAGATGCAAGTCATGCTTCATACCAGGCTAGACCTCTCCTCTTCAGCTCTAGCCTCAGCCTTGTACATCCATGTCTGAGCCACTGGGCTGGGATTTACTGTGAATAGGCATCTGTACATTCAGATCCCTAGTCCCTCAATCAGAGCCTCGTGCAGGTGCCTGGTGAGTGTCTGCTAATGGAAATTCCTAACCATTTGTGCTGGGAAGCTTGTCATTTTTGTAAAGGGCCATTGTAAGGTGATAGCTGTTGTGCAGTGCAGTGGTTCCCAGGGCTTTAGAAATCCAACCATGTTTGGGCCAAGGCTGGCTTTGCTCTTGTAGTAATTTCAGAGAAGAAAAAAATAAAGTGCTTCGTGCTAAACATAGCACGGTTGGACTGGTCAGATATGATCCGTGACTGCTGGCCTTGTCTGTTTCCAAATCTCTCTCTTCTACCCTACTCTGGAGCAGGTAGTTTATACAGGAGGTGTCTCAGTTGTATCGAGCCCCAAAGTGGTAATTGCAAGGACCTTGAGATAATAATGCTGTGGATTCTCAAAGAGCCTTTCATTGGTGAACCTCCTAACCCTCCAGTATTATCTCCCAGCTTGGGGAGTACAGTAACCCCTATCATTAGCTCAACCTCCTGGCTTCGGGTGTTGTGGGCTTGAGAGAGGAAGTGGAACAGGCCTCCTGGGCCCTGAGACCTTCGTTGTGGCCTGGAGAGCAGCAGGGATTCTAGTGCATTAGGGCCCGGCCAGGGTTTGCTGGACTCTGAATTGCTTCTGACCATAGTTTATACTCGCAGTGTGAGGATCAAGGGATTGCCAGGTTGCAGTGTTTGGGGAACCCATGCAGAGTTATGAGACATGCAGCTTTCCCTCTTTTCATTCTCCCATTCTCGCCTGCCTGCTCCCAATCCTGCTCCAGCCAGTAGCAAATCACAAACCTCAGCCAGCAGCCCAGTGAACAACTAGGATGACAAATGTTAGAAGGACTTTGGATTTCAAATCTAGAGAACAGAGCCCAGAGCCGGCGGAACCCCATCTGGTCAGTGAAAGTCACCAAGAGGCCCCTTTGGTTCCAAGTAAGATGGAGCACTGAAGGGCTGGGGATTTAGTTCAGTGGTAAAAGCACCTGTCTTGCAAGCAGGCGGTCGTGAGTTCGATTCCTGGTACCTATAAAAAAAAAAAAAAAAAAGATGGAGCACTGAACACCAGCAATTGCAAAAGGAAATGGGCTTCCACTGCAGGCTCCCCTCACTGAAGGTGACAGGGCTGACGAGGACGACTGTGAGGCAGGGTTGTCACAGGTGTGCAGGTGCAAGTGTCTGGCCCTGCTTCCCTGGCCTTCCCTGCATGCATCTCCTGGGTAGATGGAGTTCAGTAGCTTCTTGAGGTTTCAGGAAGAGGAATCTGACAGAGAGGGAATTTTTTCCCAGGGCTTTGTGTGTGCTAGAACTTTCACTGAGCTACACCAACAGCCCGGAGAGAACCTTGACGTGCCACAGAGGAAGAAGAGTGTGGCCTCCCTCTTCTCCGTCCCCGCTGGAGGCCTGGGGTATCTGTGGGTATGATCTGAGGCCTTATTTTTTTCTTTTCTTTAAATAAAAGTGGGGGAAAGTCTTGCCCAGCCCTCCATTCTAACCTACTTTCCAGCTTTGCTGCTTCTCCTGTCTTTTTTTTTTTGTCTTTTTCCTTTTTATTGGTACCAGGGATTGAACTCACGACCGCCTGCTTGCAAGGCAGGCGCTTATGCCGCTGAGCTAAATCCCCAGCCCCTGCTCCTCCTGTCTTAACATTTTTCCTTCCTCTCTTCATGCTTTCTTGTTCCCCTCTTCCCTTTCTTACTTCTTTTTCTTCTTCTCTTCTTTTCTCTCTCCTCTTTCTTTGTTTTATTTTTCTTTATTTTAATTGTAGACATGCATAGTTCACAAATGCATGCATCTTGTTAAAACAGCAAGAGCTAGACATAGTGGTACAGGCCTGTACTGTCTGCTACTCAGCTATGCAGGAGGCTGAGGCAGGAGATTGCAAGTTTGAGGCAAGTCTGGGCAACTAAATGAGACTTTGTTTAAAACAAAAAAGGTGAGGCTGGAGAGATACACCTTTCTGTTCTCTGCGGTCAACTCCCATTACCACAGAAACAAAACCAGTAGCTCCCCGCACCAGCAATGTAACAAGAACAGCAACAGATTGGAATTTCTCTTGAGTGCCTCCTTCAAATTTCCAGTTTCTTTCATGGGGACAATCTGTCATTAATTTGATGTTTTTTCCAGAACACACACACACACTCACACACACACACACACACACACATACACACATACACACGCACATTTATTGTGCTGCAGTTTGCTTGTCCCTTTTAAAAACTCCCTAGTCCTATTCCCATGCTGGGTCAAATGGAGCCACCTCACGGCCATGCAGCAGAACAGCTCTGGACAGTTTATTTCACCATGTTTATATTAGCGGATATTTCAGGCCCCTTATTTTATGTTTCCTATTTTTTGCACTGCTTTGGCGCCAGCCTCTGCATACCCTCTGTGGGGTTTTAACCCTCTGAATGACCTGGCATGAAGATTGTTAGGTTGGTAGATACCCAAGTTTGAATTCTAGTAGATATTGCCCGAAGTCTCCCTGCACTGACCGTTCCTCCATCAGGACATGTGAGTGCTGTTGTCCTGCACCTTGCCCAACACTGACAACAGCCTCACATGGCAAGAACTCAAGGCCCCTGTGTGCCTGCACCACCTTGTGCTAGAGGGAACTCCCCGTCACCAGACTGACACCAACTAGATTGGAGAACTGCACCGAAGGCACTGCAAGAAGGGACTTCTTATGTGGAGAAGAGGCTGAGTAGGGGGCTTCTAAAGTCCCTTCCAACAAAGGCTGGCTGGGCTTGGTGCATGCCTATAATCTCAGCACTTGGGAGGCCGAGGCAGGAAGATCATCATGAGTTCAAGGCCAACCTTGGCTACACAGCAAGACCCTGTCTTTGTTCTTCTAGTGTTCTCCTGAAAGGAGTTGGGGTGAAGCTGTTTCTCTTCTTGTTTCCCTAGGTCAGCTGAAGCTGTCGATTGATGCCCAGGACCGGATTCTTCTGCTCCACAGTGAGTATGGCCATGTGGAGACCCTCAAGGAAGAGGCAGGCCACTTACCTCTTTCCTGGAGTGGGGGACGGAGTGGTGTCACATGGCTATGGCCTCTTTTTTCATCTTTGTACAGTGTCCTGCTGTGTGTCCACTGACAACAGTGGCTATTCACATGGGACCCAGCCCCAGATCCTGGCCTCTTGTGTCTGGACTCCATGTGGTGGGTCTTTGTCCTTGGCAGCCTAGTGCTGCCCCTGGACACTCTGTTATCTCCCCTGACCCCAGGAGAGCAGGTCCACAGAAGAGCCTTCCTATCTTCCCTTCCTGCTTTCTTCCATAACTTCCCCTCTCCCTTTTTCCCATTACTGGTGGGCAATGCATGGTGATGGTTTTTGGAGCTGGACCACTAGGGTCTGCATCCTGACCCTGACACTTTAGTTGCTGAGTGAACTTGAACAAGCTCAGTTTCCTCAAATGTCAGATGGTGGTGCTATTAGTAGCCATCTTTGGGTTGTTACCAGGATTAAAAGAGTTAATATTGGCAAAGTGCTTAGGACAGAGCCCAGCATGTAGTAAACTCCATATAAATGCCTGCTAAATAAAATAGAAAACCATAAACTCTAAAAATAGTGATTGAGCACCAACCATGTGCTAGGGTCTGGGGACGCTGAGGAAAAGCACCTGGCTTTGTCCAGGTTGTGCTGGTGGGATTCAGAAGAAGTCTTGGAAAGATAGCAATGTCTACAGTCTACCTCAAAGGAGGAATAGATGTGTGCCAAGTGGAGGGAGCAGGAGTGCTGTTCTGGGAGCTTCATGCAGAGGGAACAGCAGGTGCAAAGACCGGGGGGCCAGAGAGGGCACGGTGCCCTTGAAGAGCTGTCCAGGATGACTGGGGCACAGCATAGGAGGGTTTTGCACTTGATCAATCCATTTCTCCTTCCTTGCATCCAGTAGTTACCAAGTTTCTGTTGTGGCCCCCGCTGCCTGTGTCCTTCTGTGTGGTCCAGAAGGCCCTGCCTGGTTCTTCAGCCTACCTGGCTGTTGCTGCTCAAGGCATCCTTTACCCCCTCTCCCATCCAGCTACTTGCACTCCTGTGAACGTAACCTGCTGGCCCACGCGTCTGAACCTTTGCTCTCACTGGTGTCTGGAACAACTTTCCTTCGTTAAACTCCTTTTGGAAAATACCTCTGTGTCCCTCTGCTTTTGCCAGAAGTGTGCCTGTCTTAATCATCCTTAATTAAAACTCAGGAAGGAAGGCTCGTTTTGCTTATTATTTTCCCCGCCAAGAGTCACCCTTCCCCGACCTACCTCCCTGGGCTGGGTTTGTTGCTTCCTCCCCATCACAGCTTGGATACACTGTGCTACCCCAGGTCTGGTCTGTGCACCCCAGGGAGGGGGAACAGAAGGATCAGGTCTGCCTCACTGTCATTGGTACCCAGGGAGACCCAAGAGTCATTAGGCTTGGATCCTGCTTTTGAGAACCACGCTCTCCAGGGGACAGATCTACACAGGAACAGTAGCTAGGATACAGGGGAGAGTGAGCCAACAGGCGCCTGGGGTCCCTTGGTTCTGGCCTAGAGGGGCCCAAGGTGAAATTCCCAGAGAAGCGCTCTTTGCCTGACAGTGTCGGACTCCAGCTGTGCAAACAGTTTTTGCAAAATGCATCTTGGCCTCCACCACTCCATTTGTCCTGCACAGTTTGCTTTGGCTTCACCCCAGTCTCAGGCCCTTCATCCCTTCCAGCCCGTCCCTGCTCCTTCCTTTGGCTTCCCAGGCCTCACGCCCCAGGCTGCTGGAGGCTGTGTCCAAGTCAAACCCTAGGGCTCAATCAAAACCAAACACAAAAGGAAACAGAAAGAGCCTCTGACTTCTGTGACTCGGACAAATAGGCCATGCTTGCCTGTAGGGCCAGGCCTCACTCACCCCACACTTTCCCTGGCTTCTATTTACCTTTAGCAAGCATTTGTGGAGCATTAACTTGTTTTTCAGACGTTCTTCCAAGTACTTTAGATACATTTAATGGGTACAGCAACCATAGGAAGCAGTCATCACTAACACTTGGGAAAATGGCAAAGTGATTTGCTCTGGCACGTGCACTTAGTCAGTGGTCCTGCGGGGACTCATGCCCAGGTCTGCTGCCTCTAGAACCCAAGCTGTTACTATGGTGCTATCCTGTCATTGCACCCTGGATCACCATGCTGCACATGTTCTACAGTTTGACTCCCACCCTCCACCCCGTGCTCCCAGAATGGCACTGGACTGGGAGTCAAGAGACAGGAGTTCTAAATTCAGCTTTCATTCTCATTGCTCTGAGTGTTAGGACCAATTTCTTACTTTTTTGGGTCAATAGGGTGGTGGTGGCAGGCTCAGTACATCTTCCAGTTGTAAGATTTAGGGAATGGAACGCACTCTATACCATGGTGAGGGGTTACAGAGCACGGGCAATGGTGGTGATGCACTAGACTACAGAAGGATTAATATTATCCCATAGTTATTATATGGACTAGGGTCTGGGGGTAAGGGCTGTCACCCATCTACTCACAGGTATGCCTTATATTTCTTTTCAGATCTTCAGAGTGGTATGGGTCTGTGCATGTTTCCATTCAATATTTTAATTTTCTTTTAGTCATTGAAGGCAAAGGACTGATGAGCCAAGAACCTGGAGTCTGTGATCCCTATGTGAAGGTACATGATGGGGCTGGAGGTAGGGTGGGTATATTGAGGTGAGTCCCAAAGTCCCAGTGTACTTTTGGGATGGGGCCACTTGAGGTCATAGCTGCTACCTCATTCTTTGGGTCAGTGGGCATTTACTAGGCCCTCTGCTAGGTCCCTAGGGCTGGCATCTGAAGGGTCAGCCTCATTGTTTGTGAAGCTTGTGCTATTTAAGGTCCTGGAAAAGGACTTGATTAGGAACAGGGCTGAGTGCCTGAGGCATGAGAAGACTGCATTTCAGGGAGGGGATGCGCTTGGGCCATCGCTGTCCAGGGAAAGGAGTATTGAGAGTTGCTGGAAACTTAGATGAGAAGAGAGCTCTGGCTTTTGGGAAGCCTCCCTAGTTGGAGAAAGAGCAGAGAAGAATCAGCCTCATCTCTGGTTGAGTCCATGACTGCCTGCTTGGTAGCAGCCATCATAAGACCTGTCCTGCTATCTGATTCCAATGCCTCTGTCCCTGGGGCTGTGTTCTTTTCCAGCATCTAACAGGACCCTCTACGCTGTCCTTTGCAGAGGCTGGATTGAAGGACACTGGGAAACCTTCAGCCCAGAGATGTGCAGAGGTTGCTGCTGGATTTAGGTGGTTATGTGGTTCATGAGATCAGCTAACGCTTCCTTTTTCTTCAATTCAAGATTTCTTTGATCCCGGAAAGTAATCAGATACGCTCTCAGAAGACGCAGACCATTCCAGACTGCAGAGACCCAGCTTTTCATGAGCACTTCTTCTTGTAAGAGTCTGGAGCCATGGACCCTTGAGAGGAGAGGGAGGGAGTGTTTATCTGGAAACAGCTCTGTTTGCCAGATCTAGAACTAGATCTAGGCAGAGAAGCAGTGACTTCTAAAGGGTGTCTTTGTTTTTTCATTCCCTTGTGTCCTTGCATCCCTGGCCCTGGGCCCAGTGGCGAGGCCGCAGTGATAAGGTATCACTGAGCTGCTTCTCATGCTATGGTGCCCAGCTTGAGAGCAGGCAGTTTCCCACTGTGCCTGGGGCCAAGCTCTTGCCTTTAGCAGAAATTTCCCAAGCCGAGGGGTATTTTGAGTCCTGCTCCCCCTTTTTCTTTAAACTTGTTAGTGTCCCTCAGCCTCCTTGTTTATAAAATGGGGCTAATAATAGTACTCACCTTGGAGAGCTGTGGGTACTATGGGAAAGTCATGGACTTGTGGTCTTCTCTTGAAAATTAATAATATAGCAGCAAATAATATAGCAGCAAAAAGTAAGGAACACCCACGGGTCTGCTACTCAGGCAGATACACCTTGCTGCAGTGGTTGATAGACCCTGTCCTTGTGTGGGTGCGTATGACTCTGTGTGTGTGTAGAATGTGTTGATTTGTGATGGCAGTTGTGACCTCCTTCTTGTGCTTACTGTGATTTGAACTCGGTAACACATCTCCCACACTATTGTGCTTCAGTTTATTTATCTACCTGTTTAGGTTATTTCCACAGTTTTGCAGTCACAGCTGACTCCAGGGATCTGGCCTGGAGCTCAGCCCTCTGAGCACTCTAGTTGTTTGCTTTGGTTCACAGCCCTGTGCCAGAGGAGGATGATCAGAAGCGTCTTCTGCTTACCGTGTGGAACAGAGCCAGCCAGACCAGGTGAGGGGAACTGCTGAGCTGGGCCAAGATGCTGCTCGAGGTAATGGGGTGGCAGCCAAGTGGCTGGTGTGGGGCAGGGCCTCAATTAGTGCCTGCTGGATAAATGAAGGGTAGTGACAACGGTAAATAAATAGCACAGGTTGCCATCCCCTGGGTCACCGTCACTCCAGGTGAGGCCAAGAATCCTGTTGTCAGTGAGCACTTGCTGAATGCTGAGTACAAACGAGATACCGTGTTTGGCTACCAGGGGTGCCAAGCAAACTACATGTGGGTTTTCTGTTACCAGGGCACCCAGTGTGCAGGTAGGAATACCAGGTACTGAATGGAGATAAATTATAGGAATAATGTGCACACACTCAATCCCATTGGACTAGAAATATCACGAAAAATAGGCTTATTTTGCTCTTAGTCACCATGATATCCAGTGCCTAGCCCAGAGCTGTTTCAGAAATACTGGTTGTGTGACTAAAGAAATGAAATGAGCCATTAGGACAGTAAGTGAGGAGAGGGAGCGTTCACTGTGGGTCAGATGACGAAGGAGAACTTCAGGGGACAGATGGGATTTTTATGGGGGCAGAGAAGAAGAAGACAAGTCTGGCAAGGGTATTCAGTAGGGTTCAGCCTGAGCAAAGGCAGGGCGGCAGGAACACAGAAGAGCACTGAGAGTCAAGGATCGGAGGTCAGAACCCTGCCTCTGACGGGTCAGAAGATGCCCTGACGGGGCGGTGGAGGAGTGAAGGCCCCCTACATAGAGGCAACAGTGTGCAGAATGGAGCTTGAGGGCAGAGCTGCAGCAGAAGGAGCCAGTAACTTGGGTCACGTTTTTTGGAAGAGAAAATGAGGCCGGGGAAAGTGAGTCAGCCCCAGGGAGGCAGCGTGACCAGGGCAGCATCTCCACTTGTTGCCTATTTTGGGAAAGTGAGATTCCTTATTAAATAAAACACAGCCAAACTCGTGGTCACAGTCCCAGCCCCAAGCTCGAGGGGGACAGGGCAGGCTCAGACAGGCCTGGCTGCAAGGCAGATGGCCCTGCCAGGCTGTCAGCACCACGATGGCAAGCTCGGCCTCTGCCTTCTCCGTGGATTTTCTCCTCTATCGATCCATTTCTGAATGAGAAGCCTTCTGAGCTAAGGAGACAAATAGAGATGGCAGGAAACTTGGGCTCTGTTGAATACTGCCAAATCAAATTTTGCTTCTCTAAAGAACAGACATCCAACTTCTCAACACAAAAGACAAGCGCAGAAGGAAGGAAACAAGCATTTATCAGACTCTTCTTTGTGCCAAGCACTTTCCATGTATTATCTCATTTAACTTTATTAACATCCCTGAAGACAGTTATTATTGTCCCACTGCAGAGAAGAGAAAACTGAGGTCTGTGGAGGCTAAGGCCCTGGTTTGAGTATCTGTAACAGCTCATGCTTATCAGGCTCTTGCTATGCGTGGACATTAGGCCTAAGTGCATACCACACATCATCTGATTGAATCTTCACAATGCCCTACAAGTTGAGCAATATTATTATTGCTTTTTTTTTTTTTTTTTTTGATGGGAAACAGACACAGAAAGGCCAGGCAATTTTCTCAAGGTAAAACAACCGGGATGCAGTGAAAACAAGCCTCAGATCTAGGCAGGCCAGTACCATCTGTATACTTACAACTACATCACAGTGCAGCTCCCCTGCTGCCTCATGTGGCACACTCCAAAGCCACACCTTCTGTGTCAGTAGCTTGCATCTCTAGGTCTTGGGATGCTTGTCAGTAGTAGCATCCCTAGGCCTTGGGATGCTTCCCAGAATTTGCAGTACAGTTTTACATCAGTTGTCCAGTCAAAAGAGTGGTGATCGCATGCTGAAACCAGTAAGAGACACGAGGGAAGTGTCTGGTCTGTGACTCCTCACCATCCTCCCAGTGATGGCAGTAAATGCATATTAGAGAGACAGGGTGATCTATGAAGATGTGCTGGTGAGGGACCAGATGACCTCAGCGTGTCCTGCCGATAGCAGCGTTGCTGGGGAGATCAGGGCCTTGGAGCTGTAGACTGGGACTTGGCTCTGCCTGGCCATGTGACCATGTGACCATGTGACCATGGACCAGGTCCTTCTCTGCTCTGGGCCTCAGTTTCCTTGCCTGTAAAATGCAGGGGTCTCTAAGGTTTGTTTCAGCTTCAAGGTCCTATGAGTTTTTAAGTCACAGATATTTTCAAATGTGCGCAAAGATAGAAGGTGCCATACTCTCAGCCTGCACCTCTTACCAATATCCAACTGATCTGGTTTTGTCTGTGCCTCACCCACTTTCCTGTCCTCCAGTAGATTATTTTAAAGACCTCCTCTCATCAGTGTGTATCTCTAAAGGATGGCTTTAAAAAAGATGCAGCCGGGGCTGGGGATTTAGCTCAGCAGCATAAGTACCTGCCTTGCAAGCAGGCGGTCGTGAGTTTGATCCCTAGTACTGACCAAAAAAAAAAAAAAAAAGATGCAGCCACAGCAACACTGTCACACTTACTCATTACACAATAAGGAACTGAACGATTTGAATGTTCTGTTTAATGATATGGTAAAAACCAAGTAGAAGTTGCTACTATGAGTGATAGCATTTTCAGAACTTGTGGCCAGAGAACACTCTTGAAGAGAATTGTTATGGTATATACCAAGTTAAAAAAATATATAGAATATAATCTTTTAAAGAGAACATAATCTTTTAAAATACATTGAGATTAAATTGTGTAACTCTATAATGAAAAATAGTTTAGGATTCCAGAGAGAGAGAAAAAAGAGAGACAGACAGAGACAGAGAGACAGAGAGAGAGCGAGAGAGACAGAGACAGAGACAGAGAGAATTAAAATAGTTTCCCTAAAAAAATCCCACATTTTTGTGTTGCTTTTTAAAGACAGGATCTTACTGTGAATCCCAGGTGATTGAACACAAGCCTCCTGGCCTCGGTAGTCTAAGTGTGAAATAGTGCATTTTCATTTTACAGAGGATCACTTACCCTATACTAGACAGTAAACTGAATACTGCCCTCCCTGTGTGCTCCATGAGTTACCTCTACTCCTTGATCCTCACTATTCCCTTAGCCTGAAATGCCCTTCCTTTCATTCCCTCTGGCTCAACTCATTGGGCCTTCTGCCAGCATCTCGGCCCTGAGCTACCTCTTGCCTCCCGTGCCTTCAGAATGCGTTGCCTGCGCCGTTCATCTGTCAATCTCACCCTGTCCTGTGACATGCCCTGTATTGCGCTCTTAGCTGCTATGTAAATTCCTGCCTGTTTGTCTTGTTTCCTTAACACTGCGGCTTCTTGCCCAGCGCCTGCCAACCATGGGTTTGATGGATTCCCCATTTGTCAAGCCTTCACTGAACTCAGGCGCTGGCAGTCAGGAGGAACTAAGACTTGGTCCCAGCTACTCCGCACCTAGGGAAATTTCAGGCCTCTCCGGGGTGAGCTCTAGGTCCCAAGTTTGGAGGCTGACTGGATTGTCGCCATATGCTCAGGCTGCTTATAAAAGAAGTCTTTCTTCCTGCAAAGGGTTTTCAAAAGCAGCCTTCAGAAGTAGCTAATTGAAGAACACTCAGAGAGAGGTTCCAGCTTGTGGACATTAATTGTGACGATTTACTCTGCCTGAATGATCATGAAATCGTCGGAGGCCCCTTAGCAGAAAGTAAAGCTCAAGGGAGGCTATTAACCATTTAGCATTCTCTAAGCACCAGGGAATGAAAATTCCACTTACCGAAGAGCCAAGAGAGGCAGCATTTATTACAGCTAATGCACTAGCCTGGAGATTTAGAAAGTTTCAGCCACAGCCCGCATGAGAGGAAAGTGTACCACAAGGCAGTGTGGGCACCTAGACGCCAGCTGGGGTTCTCTTGAATGTATTGAAAAGCCAAAAATCACTAGGAGGGCATTGGCAAAGTGCTGATAAGACTTTTCTAAAGGGGCAGCTTGGACGAGTGTCCACTGCACGTGTTGATTGCTGTGACTCCTGCTAGCGTTGCCTTAGTTACTTACCAAGAGGGAGGAGTGTTTGTTTTTGCCAGTGGGCTGAAGAGATGGGCAAGGAATGCCTGCTGTATTGAGGTGACTGCATTGTCCCCCTTGAGTAGATTACTACTTGACTTAGTGTGATGAGAAAGCACAAGGAAGCGGGGAGGGTAGACAGAGCCGCAGCTGGAAGGAGAGGGAAGAGCGAGCGGCTGGTGGGGGGCAGCTGGGCACAGAGGTCTTGCCCCTTGGCTGTGGCTCAGGGCATTATGGACAGGTAGGGGACCAGCTTGGAGTTCAGTCCATCACATCCTGTATTCTTACTCCTTGCTTCGCTTGAATGCCTACAAGAAGCTGATTTTGTTTTACTGAAGATGGACAGGTAGAAAAGATGTTGCCACCGTTTCTGAAGAATCCAAACAATGTGTATGATAGGGACCTTCCAGACTTCCAGTCTATGACTGAGACACATATGGGTGGCTGCCCTGCAGGATCCTTGGAGAGCTTTCTCCCAGGTCCCATGTCTGGGCTCACTGCACACCAGCAGCATTTGGGTCCCCAGGTATAAACTATGGAGCCTGGATCTCAGACAGACTCTTCAGGTGGTTCTGTGGTGCCCTGCTGGTTAGAACTACTGCCCTGGCTGCAGTCGCCATGGTCCAGGTTCCAGGAGGCCTGACTGCGAGGGCTTTGCTTCCTGTGCAGGCAGCATCGGTCCCCTTTGGCTGTCACACTGTGCCTCATGGAACAGGCCAAATCCCTGGTCGGGGGGCTCTTTGGGTACTGAATTCACCTGCCAGGGTTAAGTTCCAGTCTAAAAATCCATGGTGTTTTTTGATTAATAATTATTAGACCAATCTAGAAAGGAGTCTGAGTTGGGAGATGCAATGAGACAGAGGAGAACGGGTCGGGGGAACCAAACATGAGAGGAAGTCTCCCACAGACTCTGCTGTTAGGAGGGAGCAGGGTGCGCTAAAATCGAAGTACTTAAAAATAAATTAATACTGCTTTTTTTCTTTTTTTATTACTTTATGTTTGCAATGCATAATAGTTACATTTGTTATGGGGTTGCTAATTTTCTGATTACAAAACTAATGCTTGTTGTCTATGAACATTCAAAAACTGAAAATGAAAGAAGAAAACAAAAATCCATAAAATTCTACAACTACATACAATCATTGTTATTATTTTTATGAGTCTCTTTCTCATTAAACTATAGCTTTGTAAACTCCCTGTTCTCCAACAAATATAAGGGTTTTTTAAAATTTCATTAATATTATTTTATGGCACCATTATTAAAAAGCTGTCAAATATTAATCAGTTCTTGACGGTTGAATGTTGGGTCTCCACGGTAGACATCCTTCAGGAACCTTGAATTCATCTGGACCAAGAAGTTCAGCTTGAACTCAGCCCCTTACCTGAGGCCTGGCTCTGCCTCATGCCTGCTTGTACTGCAGGCTGCAAGGTCAAATGGGTCTTGGTGACTTTTGGTGTCAGGTACCTTTGGCTGTTGGTCTGTGGCTAGACAGACTCCATGGGGACCTGAGGCAAAGCTTCTGGAGCATCCAGCCAGGGCTTTGTCAGGGGCTGAGAGTCCTTGGGAAGACCAGCTCTCCCCACCCTCCCAGCCCCAGGGCACTTCAGACTTGTGAGGTTGTCTGAGCCTCTGGGATTGGTAGCGTGAGAGACACACCAAGACCTAGGCTCTTGACTTTCTCTGGGACCTGACTTCTCTCCAGTCCTTGTGAAGGGAACCGTTTTGAGTCTTGAGTTTTCCTCTGTAAACTGGAGAGGACTCCTATCGTGCTTACCAGGAAGGCTCAGAGAAACTGACGCAGATGGAAGTGCTTGGAGTCACAGCGCAGGGGCGGCTGGGATGCTTGCTGCCTCTGGCACAGCCCTGTGGGGGACACTGACTCCCTGCTTTTCTCCCAGGCAGCGTGCACTCATCGGCTGCATGAGCTTTGGGGTGAGGTCCCTCCTGACTCTGAACAAGGTAGGTCCCAGGGAAGTTTCTAGAGTGTTGTCCCACCTAGGCCTACACTGGTACAGGCAGGTTTGGTCCAGAAATCCTTGGGCAAGCATCTGTCTGTATGGTGCCCCACTGAGGCAGTGGCCTGAGTAACAGTTCTATGGCTGTCACCCGTGTGGCCTGCTGCAGAGGTCCTCTTGGTGTGACTGCCCCTATCCTGCAGAATAAGATGCTGCCACAGAGACTGCTTGGGTCACAGGCAGCCTACTCTTTGACCTCTCCATCCCATTTTTATACCTTCTGTCCCATCAACAAACATTTAGTGGGCTCCTCTGTACTCCTACTGTATGCCAGGCTCGGTGGTACTGGGTGTGGGCTCCACTCTGCTCCAGTCCTTCAGCCTGGGAGAACCTGTGTACAGTCTAGTGGGGCTGAGGAAAGAAGGGGAAGTCGACAGGCATTTCCCAAGGATGAGAGGTTGTAGAAGTCAGCAGAGAGAAGGGCAGTCTTGTCCTCCGGGAGGTGTGGGTGTGGTAGCGCTGGGTGAGGGGTAGGTGTGTGTGTGTGTGTGTGGTGCCCAGCTGCTGCTTTTTTGAAGGAAGTTGTGGCTGCTTAGCCAGAGCCTTCTGCCACCCTTTTCTGAATGTGTTATTCCTTCTCTCGTGACAGGACATCAGTGGCTGGTACTACCTTCTGGGAGAGGACATGGGCTGGACCAAGCACCTGAAGGTGGCGAGGAGGCGGCTGCGGCCCCTAAGAGGTACCTATGCCATTTTTCCTGCTTCCTCCCAAACTCCCCTCTCCCATGCCCTCCCTGCATGGTAGTGTCAGTCCCTGTGTTTTGTGGCATCTGCCACACTGTGGGCGCCCACCTCTGCAGGCAGTGTGTCTGGGCCCTGCCGTGAGCCCTGAGGCTCAGGACTTGGATTTCGTGTTCCCCTCAGTTCTGTGCTTCCCACATGCAGCCCTGACTGCTGACCCATGCCTGGCCCAGGCCATGGGCATCCATTTTCTTGGAGGCCAGGAGTGGACTAGGCAGCCACACAGACCTACTGCCCAACCTTGTCCTCTGGGTGGTCATGGGATGGGCCTTCCTATGCCACCAGAAGCTTTCTGACTTTGCTGTGTTACCTTCCAGACCCGCTCCTGAGAATGCCAGGAAGTGGAGACACTGAAAATGGGGAGCGACTCCAGGTAGGTGGGGGCAGCCTGGGTGGAACTGGTGGTACTGGGTGTTGGCTCCACTCTGCTCCTTGTCAGTCCTTCCGCCTGGGAGACCCCTAGAGAAGGCAGCATTTGGTGTCTGAAATTCAGCAATGGTCCGTTCCGCTAGGGCTTTTGACTTCTAGAAGCAGAATCCTCTCCTTCTCATAGGCTGCCAGGCCCTCTGCTTCTCCTAACCCTGTGGCTGAATCACCCTCTCAGGTGAACCTGCCTGAGGTCGGGGAAGCTGTGATTCTGAACCTGAGACCTACGGATTCTAGAGAATTTGGAGAGAATTCTCCAAAATTCATCAGGCCACTTAGCAGAGCACAGCAGGTGATCTGTGGTTTTCTCTAGCAACTTAGAGAAGAAAAAGCAAACTTCCAGGCATTAGGAGCCCTGCAGCTGTTGCTGCCCCCATTTTACAGATGAGGGGACTCAGGCTCAGAGAGGTTAGGTTATTGTCTGTGGCCACACAGCCAGAAAGAGGTGGAGGCCGGCTCTGAGGAAGGTGCAGCAGTGCCAAGGGTACTGGGCCCTGCTCCTGCCTGTGCGTGGTCTAGCTGGGAAGATATGATGCCTGTGTGTTCGGTAACATCTCACCTGTGGGTGTAATGTAAGATTTTCACCTCCCTGACTCAGTTCTTTCACTCCCTCATTTATTCATGATGTGAGGGCCAAACCGGGTGCTGGGTACTGGGATAGAGCTGTGACTGTGTCTAAGGTCCAGCTGTTGAGGAGCACAGTCTAGAGCTGTGATGAAGAAATGAATATCAACTTTTGTCTGTAAAAATGTGATTGTTAAATATTTGTGGTGCATAGCAATTACATTTGTTTTGGGAAATTGGCATATGTATGTATGTGTATGTGTGTAATATTGTACTGTGACCATTTTTGATACCCTCTCCTGTCTCATTTTAAGTAATGTCCGTTTTACCCTGCCTGTGTGTCTAGTTGCTGCTGTGCTGGACAGTGTGGTGGGAGAGTAACTGCCCAGGTCTGTTTTCTGTGGTTTCCCTTACAGTTCAAAGCTACCTCTGGGGTGGAGAGTGTAGCTCAGTGGCATCGCACTTGCTTATCATGGCCAAGTCCCTGCCTTCCATTCCTGGCACTGCAAAAACAAAAACAAAAACAAAAAATAAAACAAAACAAAAAACCTCCTCTGGCTTTATAGGGAGCTGCTAATGACCCTCCTCCTTCTCTGTGCCCTTGTGGGTCACAGACAGCATGGAGACCAGGCAGCTGCGTGGTGACTCGTGGGCATTAATTACATGGGCAGGAACAATTCAGGTTTCTTGATGGCTCTGGAAAGTCTTGCTTTGTGCTGGATTCTGCACGCACCTGGAAGCCCCTGGAGATATTTTTTTGAGGTGCAGTGGATTTTCTTGGGCTTGCACATTTGAGACATCCACACAGCTCAACAAAGAGGATGTGAGTGCCAGAGACTTGTAGAGAGCCACTAGTGGTCACATGTTCAACTCCTGAATGGTGCAGGTGGGGAAACAGAGTCCCAGAAATCTGGGTCCCTTGCCCACAGTTCACATGTGAACCAGTCAGGGCACATCCTCTGTCATAAAGATGGATGGGTGGGCTTCTCCAGGGGATCCCAGATGGACAGAGAATAGGGGTCTACTCTGCTATGACTCCAAGGCAAGAAACAGGTCCTGGGTTCTGTCCTGCAGTGTGACCTTAACCTCTGTAGCCCAGTTTCTTTACTGGTATGATGAGGAGGCTGGGTTAGCTGATGATTTGGAAGCTTCTTCCACACCTGATTCTTGGTGTGTATCATCAGACCCTTCATGGGGCCAGCCCCTTACATGGACGAGGAAACGGACTTTGAAATAACTCCAAGGTTGCAGGCTGTTCTCAGCCTCCACAAGTTTTGTGCTCTGTGTTTTGAGATGGGATGTCCCGCAGCCTGCCAAGCCTGCCAAGCCATCCTCAGAGTCATTAGGCTGGGCCAGTCCCTTGGATGTACTCCTGGGGACCCTGGGACTTGCAGGGGAGGCATGTTTTCTGCCTGGGTTCTCCTCAGCAGGGTAGCGAGGGGTGTTTGTGAGAACATTGGAATCACAAAGTGGCCCATGGCGGAGAATGCAGCCAGAACAAAGGCGCCCTCTCCCCGCCAAGCCCGAGGAATACTAACTAGTTGACAGGAATTTTAATATAAAACTCTCCCTCTTCCTTGTCATTCTGGGGTTTCAGGAAACCTTCGGGCTTATCTGCAGAGGCACACAGCGCAGACAGGGCTTGGGGAGGTGAGAGGTGATTTCCTGCCATTCTTCTGCAGGGCGGGCTTCCCAGGGCGGTCATGCCAGGCTGACGGGCGCAGTGCGGCCCCGAGGCTGGGGGGAGAGCTGGGTTTTCATGGGGCGGCAGCTGAGGCAGGACCCGCAGCCATGAACCGCTTCAATGGGCTTTGCAAGGTGTGCTCGGAGCGCCGCTACCGGCAGGTGGGTGCTTGGCCCTTCAGAGGAGGGGACCTGAGGGGTGTGGGGATCAGGGTGGGGGCTCACTCAAGCAGAATCTCTCTTCCCACGAGGGCTTCCTCACCTCCTCCTGCTCCCCATAAGCACATTTTGATTTGGGGGAGGGGTTGGGGGTAAGAACCTAACCCAAGGCCCAGCCTGTTACCTGCCACCCCACATTAGGGGCTGGTGAGGCCTGGCTCTGTGTCTCCCTGACCACTGGCCCGGTGGTGTCCTCAGAGAGTCTATGTAGCAGATTTTCTTTTCTTTTTGTCTGGGGAGGAGTTGTGGATTTAAAAAAGGACAACTCAAGCCTAAGATTGCAAATAGCTAGGTGAATGAGCTGCTGGGTGTTTCTGGAGGGTGCTTCTGTGTTTTGCTAACTTTTCCTACTTCTCGTGGGACAGCAGTGCCAGTCTGGCCCTTTGTGTGCATTGGTGTGTGCTTGCATGTGACATGGGCTATTTCTGTGTACATGTATGTGCACGACTTTCCTCCCTCAGGAATCTTGTGGTTCAGGGAGTGATGGTCCCTGAGCCTCTAGGCCTCTCCTGAAATTGCGCTGAGGCATTTTCTTTTCTTATCAAAAGGGGTACAGGGCTGGGGAAGGTGTGTAGGCAACAGATGTCCAGATTTGAGAAATGTCCAAGCTGGAAAGGAGCAGAGAAATTGTTTTGATTTTTAAAATATAGAGAAGTCCCTCTTCTTGTTTTAATGACCAGGCCGGGATCTGGATCCGGCCTCCTCTGACAGTATGTAGGTCCCTGGGAGATTTGAGGGGTCCCCTGCACTGCACCTGCTGCTAGGGGATCTAGGGTCCTCTTTCCAGGCCCTAGCCCTCTGGATGCTGCCCTGCAAGCCCTGTTCTGTGCTCCCCTGGGTGGCAGATCCGTGGGGCAGGGAAAGCACTGAATGGTGTGTCATGAAGACCCTGGTCTCCTTGAGATGATAGGCAAGAAAACCAGGACATGCCAGCGGTCAGAGGGCAGCCAGGCGTGGGTGTGGACTGGGTCTGGGGCGCTAGGACCCAGAGTTAAAAATGGCTTCTGCATTAGAAACCAGCAACAAACTTTCTGTCAGATCTGGTCTCAAATCCAGTTCTACCTCCTGTTCCTGTGGCTCTTGAGCAACTCACTTTGCCTCTCTGAGCCTCAGTCTTCTTGTTCCTAAAATAGGAATGGGGGCATCCAGGGTCAGTGCTGTGAGAGTAAGTGGCCTGATGCATTGGAAGGGCTGGATTCAGGGTCTGCCTTGTCCTTCTGGTGACAGTTGGGGATTGAAGGTCAAGTGCCACAGAGCGTCCCAGATCAGGCCAGGGAGCAGAAGTGAGCTGCCAGCTTGGCTGAAACCTGGAAGTCAGGAAAGTGCAAAAACCACCCCCAGAAAGGGCAGCGTGTCCGGAGCCAGGAGGCCCGGAGTCAGAGCTCCCTTGCCCCCCACTTAAGGCCCTAAGTCAAAGAAGAGGGCCAGGGGAGGGACACTTACTCTGAGCCTCAGGTGGCATCCTCTTCTGTTAAATGGGCGTGGTGATACTGCCTTCCCTTAGCACTGTAGAGAGGGACAGGCCTGTTGATCAGCAGCCTCTCACCACTGCCAGGGGCATCATTCTGCTTCCTTCATGCAACCCCATCTGCCCCCTGAGCTGGGAGACAAGCTTGCTTCCTGATACCTCTTCTCCTGCTCCTTCTGCTCTCCTCCGGCTTGCTCTGATCTGGTCTGGTTGTTCTTAGGGCCTTACTCAGGAAAGCTTCCACCCCCCCCCCCCACACCCCCGCCTGCACCAGGGAAACTGAGTGTGGGGAGGCGCTCTGGGGTGACTCCCCATATCTGGTTAGCCCAGGATCCAGGGGGCTGGGGCCCATTAGCCAGGCAGAAGGGGCTACATATGATGGAATAAGACTGTGGAGATGCTTGAAGGGCTTTTCGATCTTGATCTCGCTTCCGCATGGCAGGGATGGGTTGTGAGTCCCCTGGAAAGCCACGCTGGTCCCCTGCAGGGGATGGGGCTCCTGATGTCTTTTCTCCGCCTCAGGCAGACTGGGCAGTCAGTGGCTGCTCCTTTCCTCTAGCTTTCCACACTCACTCCTGGATTTGTTTTTCCTTCTTTCTCTCCATTTTTTTCCCTTCCTGTCTTAGCTGCGTGTTTTCCCAGAATTCTTATGGGAACAGAGTATTTTCCTGCCCCCTCCCCCTTCCCCTTGTCTGTCAGTTTCCTGTTTTACAAACTTGCTTTGAATCCAGGCCCAGGGCTGGTGGGAAGCAGAGCCTCAGGGCCCCAGGCAGTTTCCAAGGGCCTTGGTGGCCCTGGAGCCCCGCCTGCTCCCTCTCCTCACAGCCTGGCTACGGGAAGGGACAGCAGGCAGATGACAACAGGTGCCCAGCCCTAAGACACAGCCCTCAAAAAAAGGAGAAGCAGTGGCCCTGCAAGGCCTTGGGTTTTCTCCCCAGGCTTGATGACCCAGTGGTTTCCCGTAGCCTGGGACACCTTCCCTGTGGCTCTGCGTGAACCAAGCCCCACCACTAGAGGGTCTCTTGGGACCCCATTGAATCCCTTTTCTGACTTTGCATTTGAGTGAGCAGGTGGCCACACTGCACCCTGCACCCTTCTGCCAGGAACACTGCCATTGCCAGACCACCCTCACTGACTCAGCCCTTCCCCGGGGCCCTGACGTCAGAGCACAGAGGACTGTGTGTGGTGTAGTCCTCCTGTTTGTCCTGTTGCTTATCAGACTCCGCTTTGCCTTGAAGAGATTCTTGTGCCCTTGTGCCCCACAGGAGACCAAGGCCTTGTGCTTCTGCATCTCTGCAGAGCCTGTTGTGCAGTGGAGCTCAGCACTTGTGGGCTGGTTTGAAAACATCCGTAGGGTAGGACCCTGTCACAGGTCCTCTGAAAGTTGGTACTGTAGCCCTGCCATGCCCACAGCCCTTTGTGGTCAGTGGCTAGTTCAGGTCCACCTGGGAGGCCTATGTGGATCCTTGCCTGTCCCCTCACCTGGGACAATGGCTGTGACCACCCTGGGGGCTCCCCTTCAGTCTTCCCCTGACCTTTGGCCTATGACTAAGAGAGCATGCCTGGTTTTCCTTCTGTGTGGAAGGAGGGTCCCAGTTTGTCCTTGTCTTTGGGGTCTCAGCACAAGGCTAGCCCTGGGCCAAAGGCCCAAGAACCTTGTGATAAAAGGAGAAAGGACTGAGGCAGAAGTGGATCACAATGAGGTGGAGGTAGCGATGCTATGGGCCCTGGGTAGAGCGCTGGGGCTACTGGACTCAGCAGAACAAGTTTTGCCCTCCCAGAGCCCCATCCATCCCTGACTCTCCCTGAATCATTTGGGGTTTACCTCCTGAGCTCTTAGACTCTCTACTTGGTCCACACCAGGTATCAGGGTGCTTGGGCCAAGGCAGGGACAGCGAGGCACTGACCAGCTGCTTCTTGGCTCTGGTTCCCTTGGAGAGGAGGGTGGCTTTGGGTGGGGCCTGTGGGCTTCCTGGCCTTGCAGTTTCTGGGAGTGACTGGGCAGGACTGTGTTCTAGATCACCATCCCGAGGGGTGAGGATGGCTTTGGCTTCACTATCTGCTGCGACTCTCCGGTCCGAGTTCAGGCTGTGGATTCCGGTAAGTTCACTTGGGGGTGCCAAGCCCTGCCTGCCTGCCAACCAGCTGGGCTTTGCAGACGGGATGGAACTGGATGGAGAGCCCCATGCTGGAGAGCTCCTGGGTTTTCAAATGAAAAGAATAATATTTTTAAATGACTACTGATGGAATTGAGGTTTATGAAAATATACCGACAATTTTTTTGGGTTTTTATCAAAGTGAAAATAGGTTTTCATATTTTGATTGCCAATCATTTTGAACAAGGACAAATGAAACCTGATTTTCTGTAATGACTGCAGGGGAAAATGAGTCACTGATGAACTCTTTTGGAATTAGTATTTCATCCTATTACAAGCCAGATTAACATTTAAAGTAGTCATCTCTTCCGTACTTTCCACAAGTGGACTTTTTCTTGCCACAGAGTGTGTATCTTAGGGACAGAAGCCAGGGCTCAAGTGATTCAGGCCACCTCTTGTGCCTGCACAGGGATGGCATGGAGTTGGTACCCAATCAATAGGGCAAGGGAGGGCGAATGAAGAAGGGGAGCCTGGCACATGCAAGGGTTCTCAGTGGGCCAGCAGGCTCTGGGGAGTCACTGGGGTTTGGGGTCTCGAGCTGGGATGGGAAGGGCTGGGAGAGGTGAGGGCTAAGGGTGTCTGACTTCCTGGCTCTTGAAAGCCACTAAGTTTGGTCCCTCACTTCACAGGTGAAGAAACAGGAAAAGCATGACCCTATCTTGAGGTCACTATGGAAGAAAATGACTCTATCAAGGGCATCTTGGGCTTCAGGAGCCCCTGAATGGCTTCTCTTTGTTCCTGCAGGAGGCCCAGCAGAGCGAGCAGGGCTGCAGCAGCTCGACACAGTGCTGCAACTGAATGAGAGACCGGTGGAGCACTGGAAATGCGTGGAGCTGGCCCACGAGATCCGGTGACAGGGGACGGGGTGTGGCAGGGCCTTGGGCTGATGACATATCTCCCCCACCCTGGCCCTGGGCACACTGGCTTGTCCTGCCCTGCTTTTGCCAGCCCCTCCTTTGCCCAGCTGTGAGCAATCTACTCTGTTCCTCAGGGAACTGGGTTCTTGGCCTGAAGAGCAAGGTTCAGTCTTCAAGCAGTTTTGGATCTCAAAGCAAACAGCAGCAAAGCAGCTCTCAGCAGACCCTGTGGTTCCTGATACGGCACCAGTGGGTCACTTTCCACTTTAGCTAATTATTGCTGCTTCCTAAGAGCTAAACTCTTTCTTTAAGGGTGTACAGATATTGCATGTGTTTCAGTTGCACAATTTAAAATTATTTTAAATGTTTGGATCTGTTGAACAACTCCCTGATGGAAGGTCTGAATGGGCCCATTTGGGTTTGCTTCTAAAATGGTTAGATGAGGGTTGCATTGAGGTGGTTTGTTTGTGTCTTTCCTATGACAGGCATCGTGAGCTGAGTCTAGTGCTCTTTCCTGTTGAACCTAGCCTTGGCCTTGGGGTCTTTCTCAGCCACTACTAAGTGAGCTTAGGTTAGAGTGGACCCATGAGACTGCTTTGCTGTTCCTGTTTTAACTGGTCTCTTAGGTCCCTTCTTGCCCTGATATTAGGAGCATCTACCCTTTGTATGCTTCCCCCTCTCCTCTTGCTCTCTGCAGAGCCCCCACCGTGGCTGACTTAGCTTCTCTGTGTGATCCCCCAACCTTCCAGGAGTTGCCCTGGCGAGATCATCCTGCTCGTGTGGCGCATGGTCCCCCAGGTCAAGCCAGGGCCAGATGGCGGTGTCCTGCGGCGGGCCTCCTGCAAATCGACACATGACCTCCTTTCACCTCCCAACAAGAGGGAGAAGAATTGTACTCATGGGGCCCAGGCACGGCCTGAGCAGCGACACAGTTGCCACCTGGTGTGTGACAGCTCAGATGGGCTGCTGCTCGGTGGCTGGGAACGCTACACTGAGGTGGGCAAGCATGGAGGACAGCACACCTTGCCCACACTGTCCCGTGCCACTGCCCCCACCGACCCCAACTACATCATCCTGGCCCCGCTGAACCCTGGGAGCCAGGTATGGGAGCTGGTATGGGAAGGGAAGGGGTGTTGGGTCCTGTGGGAGCCAGGAAGTCTCAAAAACTCAAAATTGTCCTGGAAGGAATCTGCAAGGAATCTGGGAGTGTTAAGCAAGGAGATGGCATTTGTGCTAGCTGTGTCATTGCAGAGAGTGCAGATGGCCTGTGTAGCCTCAGGGCACAGCTCCAGGGCCAGGGCTTGTGCCGGCTGGGAGGTGTCAGCTCACATGCAGGGAGAGCTTTCTATCAGCTTTACTTGTCTACAGTGGAGTGGGCTACCTTGCTAGGTGGTAAATTCTCTTTGTAAGAGGTGTGAAATTAGATAGTGCATGATTATATGAGGAAATGCTGAAGTACATTCCCCAAAACATTAGTCCCATGAGGTACTCTGGGAAAAAAGTGTTCTGAGGTTACACAAGTTTGGGAAATAGCCTGTACTCTCTTCCATTTGGGGAAATTCCCAGTGAACATTAGGCGGTTGAAGGTTCTGAGGGCATCCTGCAGTAAAGAAGGTGGTTTAACCTTGTTTAACCTAACCTTCCCCACCCAAACTTCCTCAGTGGCAGCATCCTTTATGGCATGATAGTTGGGGTCCACCATCCCAGCCATCCCTGGAGCATGTTTTGAAACAGCCTCCTGGTGTTTTGCTGAGGGGTTACATTTCACGGCACGTAAAGTTTCTCTCAACTCTCATATTCTGAGCTTTTGTGTTCCCTCCAGCCTCCCTCCCTCAGCTGGTCAGCGTCACTGCTGTTCTTCCCTTGTGCCTTAAGATGCTTTACATCCCATTCCCTAGGCCTGGGGCCCATCTGCCTGCCGGGTCATCCTGCCCCATCCCTGGGCTTGAGCTGGTTCTCTTGTTTTTCCTTTACAGCTGCTGCGGCCTGTGTACCAGGAGGATACCATTCCTGAAGGTGAGCTGTTCCCTACTGCTGTGGCTACACAGCCCTGAGATGGCGGAGGTCAGCCGAGGCCTGGCCCAGCCTCTCCTTGGAGTTGAGAGGCCTTTCTGGTGGAGTCACAGTCACCCAGCATGCTGACACAGCCCTTCTTTTCTTCTGGTATCTCTCCTGCCTCATTCAATCAGTGTCTTTGAACCACAACTGAGAAGGAAGAGTGGAATCTGCTGAGCCCTCTGACAGGCAGGATGCTCAGGACTCAGGCAATTGGGTCTCATCCAGTTTTACTGAGGAACCATCTAAGTCAGGTGCTGGAGGCAGCAGGGTTAGGCTGGCATAGGAGAGAGTTCTACATGTGGAGCTAGAGGTTTTGGCTTGGAGATCTAGCTGTATGATTTTAAGCAACTCATGGGCCCTTCCTGAGCTTCAGTTTCTTCATCTCTAGTATGGGTCAGTAATTCTTACTGAGAGGGTTGTTAGGAGGATCACATAAGAATGTAGTTGTGAGCAGTAGACTACTCACTGAGCTATGTGACACAGGATGGTTTTTGGTCATCTTCGAAGGGCACAGAAGTCTTTGCTCTTCTCTGTTGGCTTTTAAATTCTGGCCAAGAGTGGAAACTGGACTCCAAACCAATCCCTTTCCCCAAAAAGCCTGAGATACAGGTCTCCTTTGGTCATTCCTTTAGGAATGCTCTGGAAAGCTCTGTCCCAAAGGTCCAGCTTGTACCTGCCGGGTAGCCTCCAAGCTCTAGGGTTATGCTTGAGCCCAGTCCATCCTGTGCTACCTGCAGAATGCCCCCGATCCCCTTCCTTGAGACTGGTCTTTCTTTCCTCAGCCTGGCACCGACCTGCTTCCTTGCCATTCTCCTCCATCAGTTGCAGGAATGTGATTCTTATGGTGGGCACTTGAGAGACCACTTGCATCTTTTGTGGAAATGGGCTCAATTCAGGCTCTGGACAGATAATACAGACTCCTCCTTTCTCGTCCCTCTGGAGGCCTTGGGCAGTTGTGTCTGGTCTGCTGGAAATCCAGCTGTCTTTCTTCTAGGGAGGAGTCTTACCATGATTCAACAATAAGTGTCTGAAAGCTTTTAGTTGTGGCACATTAGGTTAGAGTGAATGTGTCACTGCTAAATGATGACTTCATTAAGGGCAGGGCTGGACCTGGAATATTTCTATGGGCCAGACGCAGGTCTGGAAGATAGCAGGTATTCAGTAGAGTTTCAGCTATGAAGTTAGGGAGCCAGAGAGATATGTGGCCTGCTATGGACACTGGCTGGGTGACGGGGAGCTGATTTCCTCTCAGCCTGAGAGATGCCTCTGTGGCTGCTACCCGCCTTATTTATGTTTCATTCCCCTCTGAGAATATAATACATGAAAGGTGCACTTATCTAAGCTTGGGGAGGGACAAGTAAGGAAACAACTGTGCTCACAATGGTAGCTTGAAAGCATTCAGAGCTTGACTTGACTTCATTTACTTTTCATAGTAATAATCCTTTTGGGATTCTAGGACACATTTGCTCTTTACCAAGGACCAAGACTTTATTGCTTCCAGGTTTGGGGTTCAGAGGAAGGGGTGAAATTCAGGACACAAAATTTCCCTTGAACACAGTCAAGCGTGTCCAGAGTTTAAGGCTGTCACCAGGGGGCTGATTGTGAGTCTGCTGGCAGGGCTGCCAGGTGGTAGCCATTCATGAGGAGGTTGAGTATCCCAAGTTGAATAGGGTCTGGTGCCCTTCCAGGGCCTGGGGTGCCTGCTGGGCCATGGTTGGTGTGTTCTGTGGGGCTGCTGGTGCCTTGGGCATTGTTTTCTGCTCCAGCCTAGCCTCAGATTCAACACCACCAGGGCAGGATGGCTGCCAGGGCTTGCCTGGGAAGCTGAGAGCAAAGCTGTATAATCAGTGTTTGGCTAGCGAAGCAGGTGTTAGAGGAGAAAGGGATGAGCCATTGTCACAAGAGGTAACAGGTGGGAAGTAAATGAGTTTGCCTTCTTGGAGCTCAGCAACTGGGTTGCAATCTGGACTGTTCTACAAACAGATCCTTGGAAAGTCGGTTCAGGAGAGCCATGCTCCTTTGCTCCATGTCACTCTGGGCCTTAATTTCCTTGTCCATAAACTGTGTTTAAGTAGACCTTCCCTGAAGGCAGATTGGTGAGTCAAAGAGTTAATTTGCGATTCTTAGGCCCTCAACAGCTTTGGGCAGCTGGGCCAGGAAAGGGATGACATGGATTTTTTAAAAAGTCAACAATTTGGGGCCCTGGGCACAGATTTTGCTATAGTCAAGGGCAGTCTTTCTTGATAGTGGCCTAGCTGGCTCCAGTCCCCTGCTTGTGAGTCCTGCATGGCTTTGCCTTCTTTAGTCTGTCTGTGTGAAATCAGTCTGTCTGGTGCCAGGCTCACCCTTTGGTCCCGGGCGTGGTATGGCTTGTGACCCAGCAGCCTTCTCTGTGCTTCTGCCAGCCATGATAGACGGGCCTATCGAGTGGCTTAGGGTTCAAGATGATCCATAGCATGTGTACCCTCCTGCACAACCCATGGAGGCCTATCCGGTCAGGCCCTTTGTGTGAGTGCCCAGCAAGGCAGCGATTCATTTACCTCCACTTTGCAATGAAGAAAACTGACAGAGAGAGAAGCAGCCTGTTCAGAATTGCACAGCCAGTCTCTGACTCGGGGAGTCAGTGCCGAAGCTCAGGGGTCTTACCCAGCTCCATTGCTGTGCAGACCTTGAGACTCAGGATGGGTCCTTCCAGGAAAGGGACCAGTGTCTGGCTGCACAGATGTCCTGGGGCCAGACTGGATGAAGAACCATGTGACTTCTTCCCTGCATCTTCCCCTCCTACCCCTATTCTTGGCTCCTGCTTTCTTCCTATCATGGTTTGATCACTGTGATCATGGTCACTTATGGGGGCGGGGGAGGTTGACTTGTTTTTCTCGCCTTTTGCTGTGAAGGGGTGAGGGGTGGGAGGTGGAAGTAAGTGTGAAACCTTTTGGGCTGAGTGCTTCCTCTGAGGCCAAGACCTTGCGTTGGTGGGGAGCTTCCCTGAGTGTAGCTGGGTCAGGCCACCTGTTACCCCGCCTGCTTCCAGGGCTGGGGGCGGAAGGAAGCCTGGGTGCTTGGACCCACTTGGGCACTCCGGTCGGGGAGGGCCTTGCTGGCTGCCTCTTAGCAGCAGCAGCCCTTGGAAGAGGGCCGAGGTATGTGTGGAGTCTGATTGCTCTGGGCTTTGTCTCCCTGCTGCTCGTGTCCAGGAATCTCTGTCTTAGCTACTCTGGGTTTTGTTCTTCTGTCTATTTGATGGGACATGATAAAGAGCTGCATACCACTCCTGTTCCAGGGCAGTGTGTCTCTCAGTATCCCCTGAGCCTTTTGCTCTTTGCTCTTTTTCCTGCTAGTGACCTCCTCTGTAATAAATTGTAAGCTAATGGCCAAGTGGGAAACCTTGTGGAGTTGATGATACCTACATTCTCAGAGTCTCCCAGTTTCCAAAAGATGCCAACAACCAGTCAAGAGCTGGTTTTCCCTGGGCCTTTCCTGGTCTCAGGCACTGTCCTAGGGCTTGGCTCGAAGCAGCTTGCTTAGCTCTCGCAGCAGCTGGGGTGCCTGGCATTTTCACTCGGGTTGAAGAAACTAAGGCTCTGGGGGTGAAGTGAGCCACCCACCCACACTGAGCTAGTGCCTGTGGGAGCATGTTTTGAGCACAGCCACCTGGCTGCAGAGCTGTGCTCCTTACCGAGAATGTCAGTGGCAAGTACAAGTACAACTTCTTTCATAAAAATTGTAGTGCGGGGGTTGAGGCCAGGATCTTGTACACACTAAACAAGTGTTCTACCGCTGAGCTACACGCTCAGCCCTTTTCATTTTTTGTATTTTGAGACAGGTGCTCACAAAGTTGCCCATGGGATCCTAGAAGTTGGTCATCTTGTTTCCCCTCCAGCTGCCTTCCTTGTATAGGCAGGGGCCACTGTGTCTCGCATAAGTGCTACTCCTTACTGTGTATTGACTGACTGTGATCAGCCAGGTGACTCTGGCTTCCTTGACTAGTGGAGGGCGGGCCACAAGCATCCTGGAAAAGCCCACTATCTCTGCCACCCCTGTAGAGAATGGATCTTCATCCAGGGCTGGGAGGAGCTGAGTGGGCTGGGAAGACAGCAGAGGGGTGAGCAGGTGCTCTGCCCCACAGGGCAGAGATCTTAGCCCCAATTCATTGCTCGCTGTGGCACTGCAGGTCCAGTGAAAAATATGAGTAGTTTCTTGATTGTTTTAAAAATGTGAGACCAATAAAAAGACCTGACTTGGGGCCAGGATGCTGATTAGGGACTGCTGCATTTCACAGTTGTTGGTTTTCAGCTCTGTCTTCACCCTGGAGTTGCTTATTTATGTGACAGTGTCTCTCACTAGAGTGAGGATTGGTCAAGGCCTGAGACTCAGCTGAGGCCTCCTCACACAGGCCCTGCACAAGGTAGATTATCAGTCAATGGCAGGTGACCTTGAACTCATGGAATGCTCCTACCTCAGCCTCCCAAGTGCTGGGATTACAGGTGTGTGCCAGCAGGTCCAGCTCAAAGGGGATCCTTCAGAGCAGTGCTGGAAATGCCTCACCATGTCCTGTTTCTGTTCCACAGAATCGGGGAGTCCCACTAAAGGGAAGTCTTACACAGGCCTGGGGAAGAAATCACGACTGATGAAGACTGTGCAGACGGTGAAGGGCCGAGGGAACTACCAGGACTGCTCGCTCCTGAGGCCACACGTCCCGCACTCAAGCTATGGCACCTATGTCACCCTGGCCCCCAAAGTCTTGGTGTTCCCCGTCTTTGTCCAGGTGAGCCCCTGGCTGGGCCCAGGGTTGTCACCGGGAGGAGAGGAGATGAGAACACCGCACCCTGGGACTCAGGGCGTCGCCTAGGCCTCAGGACCCCAGCTTGGGAAAGGCTATAACCTGAGAAGCTGAGGATTCTGGAGGTCATGTTGATGAGCAGAGGTTTCCAGAGTATGCACAGGAAACATGGAGTCACAGAGGGTCCTTGCCTTCCCCTCACAGCCTCCTCTTTCTCTGGGGCAGGGCAGGCATATAACAGCTGCTTGCTGTGATGTCAAGGACTGGACCTGCGGAGGCTTTAGCTCTCCAACTCACCCGAAAGTTTGCTGCTTGGATCTGACCAAGGGAGAGCCAGGACCCCTTCGGTCACCCAAACATGTCTGGCCAGGATTCCCTGGTGGTCTGAGATTGATTTGAATCTTCCTTCTCCTACTCCTTCCTCTTCTTTTCTTCTTTTACATTTTTTCTCTTCTCTTTAAAAAATAATCTTCCTTTATTCCATCACCACATATAACCAGTTTAAACACTTACGTGTCATATAAATATATAGATATATAGATTTTAAAAACAAAACAGATCTTATTGTATATTTTATATCCAGTTGCATTTTTTGGTTTTGGTCTTCTGAGACAAGGCCTTGCTATGTAGTTCAGGCTAGCTTTGAACTCATGGCAATCCACTTGCTTCAGCCTCCCAAATACTGGGACTACAGGTATGTGCCACCATACCTGGCCCAGTTGCCTTTTTAAAACAAAAATTGTAGCACGAGCATTTCTTTGAGCCTGGATCATACAGTGGTGCCCACTCTTCTGTCCTGCAGATATACAATGTTTACTGAGCCAGTTCTCAATTCAGATCTGTAGGTCTATTCTTCTGCTATCGTCAACAGCCGTGTGATAAAAACTTTGTGCATGAATTTCCTCTCTGGTTATTTTCCTTGGGAAAGACTCCTAGAAATGAGAAGACTGGATCACAGGTTGTGAATATGTCGACGGCTCTTTGCACATATCCACAGACTTCATTCCAGGACAATAATGTTAGTTTATCTGCTCATCAAGAGCACAGAGGTGACACAGCTCCAGGGGCATTGTTGCTGCTCATGTCCTACTCCTCTGGTCTCCTTAGCATCCCACCCTGGACCTGTGCCAGTCCAGGGGTCTTTGGATTCCACTTGGACGTGACCTGTCCAGAGCAGTGCGCACTCGTCTCCCTCTGTGGCTCTGCCAGCAGGGCCTGGCCTTTGCCTTTCTGTTGATCTCTTTCTTTGGTTGTGACACAAAAGTTTTGTCATCCAAGGGGATTAGTTTTTGTTTCTCATTTTGATAGAAAATTACAATTGATTTTTCCAAAGTTGCAAAAAAAATCTTTTGAAAATTTTTATATTGGGAAACATATAAGCTAAAAATGGCATGATGCTTACATGTTCAATTTAACAAGTAATTATAAAGCAAATAACAACTAAAATAAAGAAATACACTTGCTGCCAAAGGATATGCTGGAATCCTGGGAGCCTGTATATCTCTTCCTGATCATAATGCCCTCCCTTCCCACCACAGGTACCCTCCAGCCTAGCTTTGTGGGGAGCACTTACTTGCTTTTCTTTATTTTTGCCATCTTTATATATTTCCCTAAGTATCATATTTTGTGTTGCCTCTTTCAAAATATTTAAGGAAGCTATACTGCATGTATTTATTCAGGTCTTGCTTCTTTGGCTCCTTATTTATAAGGTCCATGAAGGTTGTCATGTGCAGTTGATATGTGTGGTTCGTTGTCTTCCTTCAGGTGCTGTTTGAGGCTAGGAGGGTAGAAACTTATAAGTACACGCTCATGAGGATGGGTCCTGCTAGGTAAACTCAGAGCTCAGGGAGCTTTCTCTGGCTGCACAAGACAGGACAATGGAGTGAGAGGTTTGGGTGAGATGTGGTTCCTTCAGAACTGATGATGGGAAGGAGTCAGCTCAAGCGTGTTATGAGCATCAAGCAGGGAAAGGCCTCACCTTGTAGGGTCTCAAGTGGCCAAATCTCTTGGCATGTGGCTCTAAGGATGCAGGGCTCTTCTGGGGAGCCAACATTAGGACAGTGGGGGATGTGGGGTGGGGAGCCCTGTGTAAGGGGGTGGTCAGGGGGTGGGGGAGGGGGAATGCAGAGGGCCCAAGCATGTGGTTGGACTTCCTGTCGGAGAGTGCAGCTCAGTGTGAGGGCTGGTGGGAAAGGTGGCAGCCACAGTTCTGCACAGGACAGGAGCGCTTCTCTGTTTCCGTCCGTGTGTGAGGGGGTGTGTGGGTTTTGGGGGAGGGGAGGGCCTTTTGTGGATGGCTTTGGCAAGCTGTTTCCTCTGCACCCCTCAGTCTTTACACTGTCCGCTCACTGGCATACACTTTGTTTTCAGCCCCTAGATCTCTGTAACCCTGCCCGGACCCTCTTGTTGTCAGAGGAACTGCTGTTGTACGAGGGGAGGAACAAGGCTTCCCAGGTAAGGCTGGGCTGACTTTCCTCCTTGGCCATTCTCTGGGCCCCTCCTTTCCTCTCTTTCTGATAACCATGGTGCAATCCCAGGACAGGGGAAACCTGAAAACACTTCTGCCTCCATCCCTTTCCCCCAGTACATGGGTACCTATTTCTTGTCTACTTCCAGTGATAGGGAACTCACCTCCTCACAAAGCCATTTTGCTTTTTTTGACATTTGTATTATCCCTCCAGCCCACAAAGACATTCCATTGTTTATCCCAACTTTCTCTAAGGAGGAGAAAAGATGGCATTTCACTTCAGCTGTGAGACAAAGCTGCTAGCCAAGGAGCATTTTTAGAGGTGTGTCAATTCCCTGAATTTTTTGAGCCTGTATTAACCCAAATTTTAGATCTGCTCCTGAGAGATCTGTGATTTCTCCTGGCCTCTAAGTATGCCAACAGGCATTGTATGGGGGCCATGCCACTCTTTCTGGAGTTGGAAGCACTTTACTCATAGACTCAGCTCCCAGAGCCGGCTAGATCCCAGCTTAGTCCCTCAGGCCTGGACAGTAGACCTTAGCTGTGTAACCATGGACAGTTAATTTAACCCCTCTGAGCTGTAAGATCCTCCTCATCTGTATAAAGCAGTGATGTCATTGGCGGGGAGATTCATCCACATGGCAGAAAGTATGTGCTTCATAAGTAGAGGCTTCTGCTGGGCGGCAGTATTGAGACAGAGCTGTCTTGGTTCAAGCAGGACATGTAAGTGGAGCTCTGCAAGCTGGCCTGGCTCCACCTGGGGGCCTGGGGCGAGAGAACAGGGCTTGGTGCACCATAGGCCCTGATGAGGACTGGCTCTGTAGACTTGAATAGGAGCCTGGGCTGGCAAAATCAGGACACTTGGAGGCCTGAAGCTCACGTCCAGTCCAAGCTTGCTGCTTACTCATTTATGACTTCTTCCTTTTCCTTCTGTCTTCCCTGTGTGTCTTTAAGGCTGCAAGAGGTGGCTCTGAGGGGCCTTCGACCTTACCATCCTAGGGTACCAAGTGTGATGGTGTCTGAAGCAGGAGGTTGGCTTTGTTTTGTTTTTAAACAAGCAGACCAGAATTCCTGTGTGCCAAATGAGCACTGTCTTTTTCAAGGGCTCTCTCTGGTGAGATTGAGTGCTGATTTCTACCTCACTGGTATCGCTGAGGTCATTTCTGGACTTTCCCTTTGGGAATATTCTTGAGAATCGCAGCATGGCTTTGGAATTGCCTTTGTGGGAGGAAAACTTCACCTGAGGGGGATTCAGGTTTTAGGAGTGAAAGGTGAGGAGGAACTGTGTTTGGTGAATAAGCATGTGGGGGTGCTAAGTCACGTGTGCAGGGTCAGCAGGTGCCACGTGGCTGTACATTCATCAGACCTGGAAGGTGGCACTTTAAAGTGACAGCCACACTGAAATACACACACACACACACACACACACACACACACACACACACACACATCTTAATTCACTCTTAAAATTCGCACACTATTAAACTCACAAATGCTGACCACTTACTGTGCATCCTTGCTGTGCATGCATTTTGCACCGATCCCAATTAGCTCTGTGGCACCCCTGCAAGACTCGGGATACTGATGTTCCAATGAAATTAACTGGGACATCAAGGCCAGTAAGGAATGGAGCCAGGATTACCTCTCCGCTCTCTGGCTCTAATCCTGGCTCAGCAATGCTTTCCGTGACCCCATGCTGCTTCTGGTATGTTTGTTTAAAAACAAACCAAGAAACACAAGGCGAGCCATAGCCATAGTTATAATTTACCCAAAATATATTTGCCTCATGGATCTTGGGAACCGTAGAATTAAGAGACATTCCCCACCACCACCAAAAATTGAAGAAAGTGATTTGAGGACAAGTCAAATAAATGTCTCCCCCCCACCCCCGCCTTTTCTTCAGTACAATAGCAACCAAATATGAGGATTTTGATACTATTTCATTTCACTAAAACTAAAAATAGAACCAATTCCAGAGGGATTTGGGTAACTTGAAACAGCCTCAGTGGTAGTTGGGCCCTCAGGAGCCATCGATTCTAATTGCTTCTCTTCCACCTTTTAGCTGCTGGTTTCCTTTACAGTTCCTGAAGGGCAGCCCCTCCCAGTTGGAAGGAACCCCCCTCCCCCCATACACACACCTTTGTCTGTCGCTTGTCTGGGCTTGCTCAGGTTGGCTGATGTCTGGGAGCCAATCCTGTTCCATTCTGTGAACTACCCTGGTCACACATCCCCACCTAGAAGTCAAAATGCGGCTTGCATTTTGGAGCAGCCTCATTTATCCATTCAAACAGTAGTTACTGATCTTTTAACCTGGCCCAGTGCTAGGTTCCTGGAATACGGTGAAGGGAGAGGCAGACACACCCTCCCTTTACACACTGACTCACTGAGTTTACCATTAACTAAGGAACAGAGGTCTTCTCTGAATATCCTGACCTGAGGCCCACTTCCCAGGACAAGGCTTGGCTAAGGCCACTTAAGGGAGAGGATTGTAAGGATTCCCTCACTAGGCAATCCCTCCACCGTTAACCCTCTGGGAAAGCATATGTGCCCTCTGTGCAGGTGTGGGGAAGATACTCGGAGGCCCCTGTAGCTGGTGGTGGAAGCAGCAAGTAACTGGACTGCGGAGATAGGGCACCAGGATACTGGTGAGATGGAAGGGGTCCACGTGTCCTTCCCTGGCACGCCTGCCCTCTGTCCTGCTTCCAGCTGTGTGCCAGCTCTGTCCTTTCCCTGATCTGACCTTTGGGGAAATTCTTCACTCAGGCCTTAATCACTTCCTGTCTAGACCTATTCTCAGCTCTGGGAATCCAGGCTGAGGCAATGGCCTGGGCCTTTTCTCACCTTGCAGGTGGCTCCTTTCCCTCCACCCAGCCCTCTGTGCTTGGGCCACTTTTTGACTTTCTAGGCCTCCAACAGGCTGTCTCCTCTGACAGCCAGCCTCCCTCTGAATCCGGAGCTGACAACTATATTTTTCTTAATTTGGAGACCTGTTTTATGGGAGCAGGGGCCTTTGCTTAGTGTCTGAAGCTGTCACGGAGCCCCCTTTCCTTTGCTTAGATTTCTCAGTCCTCTCCCCAGGGAGCCTTGAGTTCTTGCTTGAGTCCTGCTGAACCCTTGGTCATTTTCTTCACCTCCTGTAACTTTATTATTATCACCTGTCTCCTTTGTTCCTGTTTTATTTTTGTTCCCCGTTGAATCCTTTCATATTCAGGGACAGAGCAGTGGGAGGCATATTGCCATTACAGTGCTGTGTATAGTGAGAGCTCAAGGATCTCTCAGACCTGTGTAACAGTCCTTGGCTGTATGGCTGTGGACAGGGAACTTATAACCTCTCTGAGCTGTAAGGTTCTCCTCTATAAAGGCCAGTGATGTTATTTATGTAAAGATTCATGGAGCTGAAAGTATTTAGTAAGTGGACGTTTCTCTTCAGCAGTTGTATGAGGCAGGGCTATGCTGGGAAGAGGGGTTGGGTAGGTCATGATTAAGAGCCCTCCCTGTCCAAGGTGCGAGGGAGTCTGTGTTTGAGACCTATGGGAGGGAACAGAGCCCTGAGCCTCCTTGCTCAGGAAAGTCTCCCTGAGTTGCCTCTGCCTCCGTATTTGGACACACAAGATGTCCAATAGGACTTTGAATATGTCTTACATATTTTTAAATTACAAAAGTAACATAGTCTCATTGAAAAATGATGCAAATGTATAAAGTAAAATCCCACCTCCCAGTGAGGTGAGTGGTACCTACCTTAGATATCTTTAAAAAAATTATAAATACAGGGAGAGCTATAGATTTGTTTTACACAATTACATTCTACCCCAGATATTTTTTGCCCATCACACTATTACGACTTCTGATAGACACATTTCAGTGTGTCTGCCCATATAGCTCTACTTTGTTCTTTTAATGGTTCCACAAAATTCTGCTCCTTGAAGGTAGTGTAATTTATTTTATCCATCCTCTCTTGATGGCTTTTTATGTTATTTTCCTTTGTTGAGTTTTAAGAATGCTGCTAACTTCCTTATATATTTACCTTTATACAACATTGCAAATATTTCTTTAGGGAAGAGCATTAGTAGTAGTGTTGGAGGGTCATTTTTACCTGTTTGAGAGCTAAATGACAACACACAGGCTTTTGGAAGGTCAGTCACAATCTGACACGCTCACGATGTCCAGATGTGTTACCAGCCCCTTCTGCTGAATTCCTCTAACTTCAGACGAAATGATGTATCAGGTTTTGGCATCTTGAAGGAAAGTTCCCATAAGAATAATCTTTTGTGAGTTTTTTTTTTTTTGTGAGGAGAATCTAAAACTGGATATTATTGCTTTTAACTAAAGGTCACTGTAGAATTTGTAAAACAAAGAACAGTATAAACTTCAGTGGGAGTAGAGGATCAAGTAGCTTTTTTTTTAAGCATAAAAATACTTTGTACATGCCTATTGGTTTACCTATGTCTAGAAATAGCTTTTTCTTTGTTTTTGGAGCAACTGGTACATGAAGGAGATAAAAGCTCTGTATAAGTCTGTATTGAAATATAAGCAACTGGCTTTTTCTTGGACTCATTTCTCATTAATGCAGTTAAAGTTATCTGCAAGGAGTCTGGCAGCATTGCATCAGACAACATGCTGCTAAGAACTATGCAGGAAGCTTGAGAGAGCTGGGTAAGGGGTTGGAGACCCCCCTTCCTGGCACTGCAGGGCCAGTCCAGCACAGGTGGCCCTGGGGACACCAGGCTGTGGAGTGGTCCCCACAGATGCCATTTGCCATGAAGGCTGAGGGCTGTCTTTCCTTCTCGTATATTTTTTTCCTACTTCGAGGAGGGCAGACAGGTGTTCTCCACTGGCTGGGCCACCCTTAGAGTTGCTCTTGGTTCTGCCTGAAATGACAAGGATACATTACCCAGACCTCCAGGGGAGGTTGTAACTCTGTGTCCAGGGGACTGCAGAGTAGCCAGGCTATTTGCTCTCTTCCGGTGCAGGTGACACTATTTGCCTACTCAGATCTGCTGCTCTTCACCAAGGAGGATGAGCCTGGGCGCTGCAACGTCCTGAGGAACCCCCTCTATCTCCAGAGCGTCAAGCTGCAGGAAGGTGAGGAGTGCCAGGCTGCCGGCCCCCAGTGGGGCATTTGATATGTGCTGTTGGGCTCTGTCCTTGGACTGGCAAGTGATCTACTCTCAGCTTGCAAGCCTACTGGCATACCTTGAGCTTTTCAGGGAGGGCTCTCTTCTAGACACTTTCTAGGAATACCATGCACTGGGTGGGAAGGACTTTGGACTCAGACCTGTGCTCAGGCTTTGGCACTGCTTTCACTCCTGGTGTGACCTTGGACAAGTTGCTCTACTTTCTGAGCCTGTTTCCTCATGTACTGGGCTAATAATAGTATTTCTGAAGGTTGTTGGGTTAAATGTCATTTATGCACAGAGGTTGGCTTATAACCAGTGCCTAAGAAATGCCTGCTGCCACCCTGCTCCCTACCGATGTGTAGGCAGAGATCACTGTCCCTTCTCAGCTGGCCACATGGTCTTGTTTCGTGCCCAAGAAAGCCAGAGCCTGTGTGACTGCGTGGTTGAGCAGAGTATGTGGGAGCCTGCAGAATTTCTAACCCAAAACTTTCCATGGCGCCCTGGCCCACCAGGAACAGGAAGCCAGCTGGGAGTATCTGTCCAGTGGTTTGGTTTGGCGCCTGAGGTCTCCGCTGAAAGGTCCTCAATTTCCTCCCCCAGATTATGAAAACAACAACAGACCTGTTTGAGCATGGGCGACAGGGCTGGGAAGGAAAATATTACCGGGTGAAAGAATTCTGTTTTGGTGGGTTTCGTTCTAGGCAAACTTCCTGAATGCTCGCAAAGCCATCCTGCCAGCCGCTGCCCTGGCTGTTCTCCTCCTTGCAAGCGAGGTCCTGTTGGAACCTTCACTGTGGCTTCCCCACAGGAAGTCACTCGCCCCTGTCGTTTTCTAGCTCTTACTTTTTTCTGCATACTGACCAAGGGTGGCTACAGCCCTTCCCTGCAGGTGGGCAGCTCAGCCTGACTGGGATGGAGGGGACGTCCAGACTTTGGCACCAGCCTCAGCGTGCCAGGAAGCTCCCTAGTGCCCGCTGCCCTCCAGCCAGTGGACTCTCCCCAGCCTCCTTGCTCTTCCACCCTCCTCCCTTCCTCACTCCAAGCCAGTTCCCCTAGGCTTTGAGTACTCACACCTGTACACTTTCAATTAGTCCTTTCTTTTCTGTTCCATCATCCCGCCCCAACTCAAATAGTGTAAGACCCACCCAGGTCACATCTAGGGAGCATTGGACAGGACAGTACTCCGTAACGCACACTGACCAAGGCTAAGAACTGATTCAGGGTCTGCTCTGCACATTGTAGGCCTGGGGCCACAAGCCCAGGACTCTTACTTGTTCAGCCTCCTGCTTTAGGAAGGAGGGAAAAGAAGGAGGCTCCAACTAGCGGCATTTGTTTGTTTATTTATGTATCTCTTGTCTTTTGGAGACAGGGTTTCACTATGCACTTCAGGCTGGCCTTCAACTCATTTTGTAGCCCAGGCTGACCCCAAATTTGCAATGATCCTCGTATCTCAGCTTCCCGACTGCTGTGTTTAAAGGCATGTTCCACTACTCTTGGCTCAACTAGCTGCATTTGGGTAGAGGCTGGAGTGGGGGGAAGAAATGCAGGCAGTAGCTGGAGATTTGCTGCTAGTGTTGTGAGCAACCTCAGCTGGTCCCTTTTTTGGGTTCATTTCTCTGTGAAACAAGGGTTGGGGAAGCCCTTTGTGTTCCCTTCCAGCTCTGCCAGCCCCAGGCAGAACACTCACAGTGGCAGGAAGGAGCTGGACAGTGCTGGGCTGCTCTGCTTCAGGCTGTGAGGGGCTTGGACTGGGTTTCCCTTCCTAACCCACAACTTGCAGTTAAAGGCAGAGGTCTTCATGCTCCAATGGGTGGCAGTGATCCAGGTGAGCCTGGAGTCTTGCCCTTGCCCAGGCATGATGTCCTTGGACTGAGACCACTACTGCCTGCAGATGGATGGTGGGCCACCTAGGCAAGGTCTATGGGTGGCCCAGGCAGCATCTCTCAGGAGAGATGACCAGGGATGTTAGAGCCTGTTAGCTTGACATCGGACAGGGAGCACTAGTTTTGTTGGGCAGATGGTTTGGAGCAGACCTGAAGTCCAAGATGTTTGGGGGAGTCTCTGGGGAGCCTCAGAGCTGCTTAGAACAAAGGAGACTGTTCAAAGACACTCGGAGTCTTCTAGGTGCACATTTAGCTAGATGTGGTAGTGCATGCCTGGTGGTGCATGCCTGCAGTCTCAGGCAAGTTGAGGCAGGAGAATCACCGCATGTTTAAGGCCAGTGAGATCTACATCGTGAGTTCGAAACCAGCCTAAATTACATAGCAAAACCTTATCTTGAAAAGCAAAAACCAGAACAGCAGCTGCAGCACACATATATGTATTATAAAAGATTATAGAAAAAGTGTATATTCCAATGCTTAGTTTCTTTTGGGACATCTTATGCAGCCCTTGTGCCTGTACCCCTCACTGTCCCCGCATTCTGAGCCAGGTCCGGAGAGTCACTGAAGCCCAGTGTCCCTTCTGCCATAGGCAGAGGTGGAGCTTCAGGACCCAATGTTCTGAGTCCTGGTGCCCAATTTCCTGCCCTCCTCTCTGGTGCCCCAGGAGACTCACTGCCACCACAAGGGCCTGAGTGAAGCTTTTAAGAGATGCATTTGGGGCCTTGGCTGGGTCCTCTGGTGTCAGAATGGTCTCTGATTAACATTGCCTAGGACATGAAATTCCTAAGTTTCTTGTTTGTTTCTTTCAAATCAACATGTAAGCAGAGTTCAAATTGGAATAAAGAAGACAGTAAACAAGAAGCAGTTGCACCTTTCCAGCATGCTGGGGAGAATCCACCCCATCCTAGGGACCACGGACTCCCTGGGCACTGATCTGAGTAGCCCTTCTTAGCTCTGCAGGTCAGCTGCACTCCCAGGGCCTAGTATGGGCATGGAACACAGTGATAGCCAAATGCATGTTTGTTGGGTGAATCAATGAATGACTAAAAGGAGACCAGAAGTACTGTCTCAGCTTGGGTGCTGGTGGTACCTTCTCCTTCAGGGGCCCCAGCTGGTGGCCACTGCAGTCCTGCCTGTCTTCTGTCCAGCTTCTCCAAGCTCCAGCAGGACTGAATGGTGGTACAATGGGAACAGGCGGAGAGCTGGCGCTAACCATCAGGGCATCTCTGGTCAGTCAGGGTCCCCTGGCTTTGCTACTCTGTGTTTTTGCCTCACAGCCAGCCAGCATCATGCCCATAGTGTGTCTTCCTGGCCTGCCCTTGTCTCTCAGATGTGGCCTGGAAATGTTCAGGTGACTCATGAATTCTCCATCTGTCTCAGGGACCTGCGTTTCCGTGTCAGAAACTCCAGCTGCTGAAGTAGTTGGATTAAATCCTTGGTGACATTTTCTGAACCTGTGAATGGCTGAGTCAGGATCTTAGGCCAGGCCTGAAAGGACTCTGGGAAAAATGGCAGAAGGGTCAGACCTGGGCCAGGAAACCCAGGGGCTCCACCAAGCCCATGGCTGGGGATTCCCCGCTGCATGGTCCTTGAATTCCCTGCTGGGAAGCAGGGCCTGCTCTGGAACCAGTACTTCTCTGTTGAGTTTCAAAATGCCGTAGGCAGAGTGTCTCGAATGTGCAGCCTCAGTGTTCCTTCTCCTCTGTACCAGCCCTAGTCCTACCGTTTCAGGAAGACTGAGGCTCTCTCCTGAGTCAATCCCTTGGCTGCTTACTTTACTGCAGCTGCAGCAGCTCCTCCCTGGCACCCTGGCCCCTTGCTTGTTTTTCTTTTATGAGACTCTGAATCATGCGGAGCACTGCCCCAATCCATCCTTCTGTCACAGGGCTGCCAGCACAGGGCTGTGATGTGGAGCAGATTCCAGTGAAAGTTTGGAGTAATGCAGAGATGTCAGGGCAGTCAGGGGATGGTGTCTCTGCACAGAGCAGTTGTCAAGGCAATCCATCCACCATCCCTGGCTACAGGGATTGTCTAAAGGCGTGTTCCCCTAAATTCTCAGCTTTCGTCTCCCTGAAGTGCTCATTTCCTAGACTTGCCTTCACTTCTAGAACCTTCTCTTTTTTCACTACTAGCTTCTAAAACCTAAATTCCAATTACTTTCTAACAGATGTCTCCTTAGCTCTCCTTAATCTCTAGGGTCTACTTCAAGGAAATAATCCAATGTGTTTTCTTAAACAAAAGATACCACCTTCTTTTGCCTCTACTCTCAGCAACACAAGGAACTAGAAGAGGCTTTGAGGTTACATTATTTCTTCTTTCTTTCTCCGCATCTGTGTGTCTGTGTCTGCCTCTTTGTGTCTGTCTGTCTGTCTCTTCCCCTCCTCATGTTTGAGCTAGAATATCTGCATTGAGCCCCATCCCCTGCCTCTTACCCCCTTTTTGAGATAGGATCTTGCTAAATTTGTTAAATTGCCCATGCTGTGTTCAAACCTGCCGTTCTCCTCTCTCAGCCTTTCAGAGCACCGGGCTTATAGGTGTGTACCACCGCACCGGGTTTACAGTGTTCTGACACATTATGAGTTTCTTAGGCAGGTCACCCTCTCTCCCCAACCAGTTGCCTGGTGGGGAGAGGTAAACTATTTATTCTGAGAATAAAGTAGACCTACATTTTTCTTCAGGGCTATATTATCTGGCTCTGCCTGGAAGCCCCTGGCTTTGAGACATTTTTGCCCATATGGGAACTGTCTATATACCTGGCCTTTACCTAGTTCACTTAGGGCTCCACTTCCTGCTTTGCTTAGGACTGGTTGGGCCCCAGTCTCTAGTGACCTTGCTGCCTTCTCTTGGTGATGGGTTTTTGGCTTGACAATTTCCTTGCTTCAAGTATGTGTTTAAGAGTCTCCTTTGAAGCCCGCAGTTGAGAGGTGGCATTGGAGAGGTAGGCTCTGGAAGTGGGCTCTTCCTACGCAGAGTGAGTTGCTGCATCTGTCTATGCCTCTGTTGTTTGCAACTGGGCCATGGATGCCACCAACTCTGCCCCATGGGACTGTTGAGAGGTCAGCGCTGTGTTAGGGAGCCAAATTCCCCAGCCCTTGAGCTTACACATGGGAAGCATTTGAGTGGCGGCAGGCAAACAGCATAAAGTCCTGTGGCCCTGATGCTGCTACATGTGTTAGATGGTTGCTTCTCTTAAAAATAATAGCCTGCCTGGTGAGGCCAACTGCTTGCAGCACAGGGAGTTTCTAACCATCCCAGGCTTATGTCCAGATGAGCGCCCCAGTGGGAGTAGCTGCAGTGGTCAGGGCAGATGTCTTAGCAGAAGCATAGCTGGTGTTTCTTTATCTCTGCTCATGCTATTTCCACCTCCTGGGGTGCCTTTTCTTCTCTCCGGAGTTTTAGTGCTAAAATGTCTTTCTCCAGAAATTCCTCCCCAACAGCTGCTCTTGGCTCCCAGCTGAGCCCCTCTGCTGGAGGAGGAGGGAACAGCCCTCAGTCCCTCCTAGTTCAGATGCAAAGTGCTTGGTCAGTGGTTGAGTTTAGGGACCTAAACTAGGCTTGAGGAAGCACTAGGAAAACACACAGAGGGCTCGGCCTGGGTCGGGAAACCTTCGCTTAGCTCCACTCAGCCCCCGAGTGGGGATTGCCCCTCTGTGACTCATACTTTCTGAGGTGGCTCATGATTCCATCAAGGAATCAAATGACACTCTGCGGAGTTTCAAAATGGCAAAGGCAGTTGGATTAGTGGAGAAAACCCGGTGTGTGCTGCCCCTAGCCCCTTCTAGCGGGAGGAATCACGGAAAGGACACTTCCGGGATGGGTGGCAGCTTCCTACTCCTGGCTGGTAGATACTCCTGACTGGCCTCTTCTGGAGATGCAGTGCCTGCCTTCTTTGGCTGCCCATCACCTGGTTAGCAAGTGGCTTTGCTCCAGAGACTGCCCTGTTCTCTGCGTCTGCCTCTTTCTCTTTTTCCAGGAAGCACCACACACAGCCTCGTGGGTAAGACAGCTGACTGTGTCCCAGCAAACGGCTGAGACTCTTCAGCCAGTTCTAATACAAGTCTCACTTTTTGTTCCCTCAAAGGTTCTTCAGGAGACTTGAAATTCTGCTTGCTGTATCTAGCGGAGGTGAGTCTGCCTTTTTGAATGAGTTCTGTGACCTGGGGTTTGAAGATAGGCCTGGGGCTTGGAGGCTGGTGGGGAGATTGGATGCTGAGCGCCACACAGCTCTGCAGTGGTCCAGGGCAAGTCCCCACTTGTTTCTGCCCCACCTGAATATGAAAGAGCAGTGGTGAGATGATCTTGGGATGGACCCCGAGATCTCTTCAGGCCCTCCTGAGGCTTGGTACCTGAGGGTCTCATAACAAGGGCATGGCTTACTAGCCCTATATCCCGTTTGTTTATTTATTAGCCTTCCTCTGGAGGCTGCCTTGACTCCTACACATGCTTCTTTGGTCTTTTTATTTTTCCCCCAGAAGTACCACCCACAGTTTCTCCTCCAGGGTCTTGTCAGTGTTTCCAAAAGCCCAACAGCAATTAAACCTTAACATGGGCCAGATAGTACAGGCTAAAGCAGATGCTAGGGTCTGTGTTTGGGCTTGGATGCTTCTCACTCTTGTAATTGATGTGCTTGATTATCTCTGTCTGTTCTGGAGCTTCGATGGGCAGTGCGCTGGCTTTGAGAAGCAAAAGTGGGCAAACAACTCACGGCTTGATGTCGTTTGGTGGATATCATGAACCCAGAGGTTTAACAAAAGAGGCTGGGAATATGTTACACTGGTGAGGGAGTACTGGCTATAATCTGGGACTGGGTCTTGGCCAAGAGTTTTTATTTAATTTATTTTTTTGAGACAGGGTCTTTCTTGTAGTCTAGACTGGTTCTGAACTCGCTAGGTAGGACAGGCTGGCTTTGAACTCATGTCAATCCTCCTTACTCGGCTTCCCAAGTGCTGGGGTTACAAGTGTGCTCCATGAATTTTTTTTTTTTTTAGACAGGGTCTTGCTATAATTCACTGTATGCTGAATTCACTATGTAGCTCAGACTGGCTTCCCACTCATGGTTATTCCCCTGCCTCTGTCAGGAAAAAAATTAAAAACACTAAAGGGTTGTGGCTGTAGCTCAGTGTAAAGGCCCAGGGTTTAATTCCTTCGGGGAGTGAGGTGGGGAGAAAAGCATTCCTTCAGCTTTCAGTTCTTGGCAAAGATGAGAGCCTCAAGGCCTTGGGTGACTGAACAGACTCTTGCTGAGAAGTTCCCTTCGGGAAGCAGAGAGTTCCAAAGAGGCAGTGGACATTGTCAGGGAAGAGTTGGGGGCTCAGCTACCTGGAATGCAGAGGGCACTGGATATCCTTCTCTGTGCCAGCCGGATTCCCACTAGGGAACAGGGAGTGGCCAGCGGAGTCACTTCAGTGTTGGAAGCATCTGGTTCCACAAGCAGGGTGCAGTCAGGAGAAGCTGTGAGCTGGGCTGGGCTCCCCCACCCCTTCCAGAGTCATCACTTGGGATTCCAGTTCTCTCCTTAGCTCCTGAAATCATGAAGCTCCAACTTCTTTAATGCCAACAGAGCTTCTTGCCAAGCTGGTTTTGTTTTTCCCAGAGAAAAGCACTTCTGCTCCATTGGATCTGTGACCTCCAGGCCGTCCAAAGATTGATGAAGGGATTTGGAGCCTTTTATTTCAGTAAAGTGCCAGGTGATCTGACCCTGAAGGCATGGGAGGCTGAAACTCCCAGGCAACCGGAAGCCTCTCTCTTCCCCTAATGGGCTGCTGTTTATGACAGGCAGGGAAGACAAGCTGCCTGCTTGCTCTGTAGCCTGGAATACTTCAATATAGGTGGGCTTGGGCCCCAGGGAAAGGCCCAAATGCACATTTTAGTTAGAACGTCCATTCTTTTCATTGCCTGATGTGCACTGATGTTCCAAGGAGAAACCAAGGGGAAGAGTTGGGGTTTCGGGAAGTTTTTCCACTTTGCATTGAGAAAGTTCCAGTTGCCTAGGTGATAGCAGCTCTATTCCTAGCTGCTAGGTCCTGGGCAGGGTTTCCATAAGTAGTCCTTGGCTCTGGGTCCCTAGTCCTCTGGACAGATGTCCCTCAGCCTTTGCAAATCATGGGACAGATGCAGCCCATGACTGACTTTGCACTCAGGGCATTGGGTTGATAGATACATTGGTCAGGGACCATTCTATCACCTAGAATCTGATGCTGGCTCCATTTATTTAAGAGTCTGGATTTGGGGTTAGGAAGACCTAGATGTGAATCTTGGCTCTGCCATTTCCTAAATGATATGAGGGCAAGGTACACTGTCTTCTCTGACACAAGGTGATGAGGCTGATGACCATGCAGGGTTATTGTAATGATTAAATGAGATTCAATAAGATGCTGCCTCTAAGCACTTAGCACAGAGCCTGGCACTCAGTGCTCAGTGAGGGGCAGCTATTATTATCACCAGCTTCATGGCAGGAAGAAGGGCTTTTCATATTCACTTACCCTCCATTAGAAGCATTCACAAATGATTTATTGATCTTTTTTAAAAAGTGAACGAACAGTAACATCACACATTCTTTGTATTGCACATACACATCTATACAGATATGGCAAGATCACAGGCTGTGGAAGAGGCAGCAGGCAGCTGAGAATCTCCGTGTGACTTAATTCCTCTGAGCCTTAGTTTGATGATTTGCAGAAAGGTGAACGACTAGACCTTTCCTTCCCACCCGTATGATGGCATCTTCAGGAGAGCTGAATTGAATGAGAACACGCTTGTCATAGCAAACGAACACACTACAGTCCTCGCTGAAAGGGCTTTATAAAGATAGAACTAATTCAGGATAAGGAAGTGAGGCAACATGGAGGCTGTAGAGAGGCCAAGAGGAGTTGGTGTCGTTGGATTTGAGTGCTGTTAGATGGGGCTTGTGGAACTGAGGGGTATGTACAGGATGACCACCCTGAGTTAGAAGGTAGGGCATTTGAGGGCATTTGTGACAGTGCCTTCAGGGGAAGCCTTGACTAGGATGCCTGATAATAAGCTTGTGTTATAACACAGTATAAGCTTGTGTTAAAGACAGCAAGATTGAAAAAGTGGTTCTCACATGAGGGAAGCCAGGTAGCCATGAGCACACCACTCCACATTTTGATAGATTTGGGGGAATGGGAATTCAGCCTCCCTGCAGGGAGTTGGCTCAGTACCCTTCCTTTCTTGGCCAAGCCAATCTCTAAAGCTCTGGCTCCTAAAAATGTTTATCCATCTATGATAGCCAGCTGCCTGCCCTGACCAGGCCTGGATTGAAGTTATTTGGCCTAGTAGCCTTCTATGTCCTCTAGCATTGTAGAGGTTTTCAGCTCTAAGCCTTCAGAGCCAGAGACCAATTCTGCAGTCTGCGTGGAGATAGGCAATGTGGTTTCCAGCACTGATGGGAAAATGTGGCTTCCAAGGGAAGTGTGGCCTCACTTGTTTTTAGAGTCTCGTTTATTATTACAAATGATCTGGTTGCCACTCCAGGAAGAGCAACATGGCTGACCAAAGGTTTTGTTCTTACGGATGTCAGCATAACAGACGATGATAGCCACCACCTTAAAATGTTGTTGAAAGAAACACCAAGGTACCACTGGTAATGTGCTTAGTACTGTGAGGGCCATGGTATGCAGGGTGAGAGGGCTGTCACAGGATTAGGAGTATGCAGTTGGGTCACTATGAAAGCATCCTTGGGGAGACTTTCCCATACTTTTGTCACTTGGAACATGGAGCATTTGCACAAAAAGCTGCCTCTCCGCTGCAGCTGACCTCTGAGCTGCCTAGAGACCAAAGGGCCTAAGGTTTCTTCTGATGGCTTGGTTCTCTGGTTGCCTGCAGGCCCCATCTGCAAGTGACAGCAGTCCTATCAGCCAAATGTGTGGCTACCACAGGACGTCCCCCCACCAGGTTTTGGAGATCAAATCTCAGCAAGTGGTTCTCTAAGGCTTGAAGTCCTCCCTCATTGGTCCTGAGACTCAGGGAGGCATTTTGCCACTCTTGAGCCTTCATTTTCCTCTTGTATAAAATAGAAATAACAATCCATGCTCTCCCTGCCTCTTTAAGGAGTTGTCAACATTCAATGAGTTCATGGGTGGAAAAGTACTTTGAAAAATTGATAATTAGATAAAAAGAATTATTACTGAGGCAGAATTTCTGCCTCAGAGCAAAAGAGAGACACTGAGGTTAAGCGACACTGAAGCATTCACTGCAGCCTGCAGGGCTGATTGAAAGCATTGCTGGGAGGCTGAGGGTTGGGCCGGCCATGTGGAGTGAGAGCCTTTCCAAAGGAGGGAGCAGAGTCCTCACCCACACTTCACTTCATGGCCCCACCATGAAATAGGAAACAGAGGTTTTTCTGAAAGCCCTGCCCCATTGGGCTTTCCTTGGGGAATCTTAGAGTCATTTGCTGGGTGGGTCCTGCACCTTCCCCTGAAGTGAGTGGGTGGAAAGGTTCTGGAATCAGGAAGCCCTCAGTGGTTGAGGCAAGATTGCCTCCTGTCCCTGCTCAGGGCCTTGAGGCCTACAGCAGGCTGGGTTTTCTTCCCCTTTCCTCCCATGCTTTTAGGAAGATGAGCTGCTCAGTACTTTTCTCATAGGAGAGGGTGGCACCGAGGAGACACAGCATGAGGGGTGTCCCCAGAGAGCAGGATTGGATGCAGGGTAGCAAAAGTTCCCAAATGTGCTATTAGATGATGTCAACAACTTCTTAACGCAGGTGTTTATGTTTGTTCTTCTTTCTGCTGGGAACAACTCCCAAGCATGCTCTCTCTCTCTTTCTTTTCTTTCTTTCTTTCTTTCTTTCATAGTTTTCTTTTGGTATTCAGACACTCGGCATTGAATCCAAGGAAATGCTGAGCTATACTCCTGGCCCTTTGTGTTTTATTTTATTTTGAGACAGGGTCTCTCTAAGTCACCTAGGCTGGCCTAGAATTTTCCCTCTTCCCACTTTAGCCTTCTGAGTAGCTGGAAGCAGAGGCATGCATCTCCACACCTGTCCCAAGTACTTTCCCTGCGTCTCCCTCTATCATTCAGGCCTTAGCTCGTATCAGTCCTTCTCAGAGTTCTTCTCTGACCATCTCAGTCTCCCCCTTTATGATCTTGGTGACATTTTCACAATTTGTAATTATATTGTTTAGTGCTCCCCAGCCTAAGGGCTTAGTCTATCATTTTTACCTCTTTATCCCCCGCCTTGCATAGTCTCTTACACATAGTGTGTGCTCAGTAATCATTTACCAAATGAACGAATTTCTAAATAATAACAATAGCTCCTGTGTGCAGAGCTCCTGGAATTGTCCTCATTGCTTGTCCTAATGGTTCCAGGATGTAGGTGATGCCATTTTCAAGCCCATTTTATAAAAAACTCCCAAAGATGACAGCCAGGAAGTAGCAAAGTCTGTCTAACTGCAAAAGGAGGCAGGACCACATAGGAACCAGGTCTTTTTCTCTATTCTAAGCCCTCCGGCTTGTGCTGTTCGCTCCCTGGCTGAGCTCATGAAATGCAGCCCTGTGAGGTTATAATCAAATTCCATAGAGTCAGAAAGAGCTCGTCATCCCTGATCTGAGTGCCTGGTGGGGGTTGGTAACCCTGGGCTGCCGGCTGTGCCCCGCCTGCCCCCTCAAGGGCCCTCTCCCTGGTGCTGTGCTAGTGCTGGCCTCGATTTGACCTCACATCCCGGAAGTTTCTCCAGCAGCCAGAGCTTACTGATGCCAGTGTTTGCACGCATGGTGCTGGGCCCAGATGAAAAGGGCCTCCTTGAAGGAGTTTATAGTCCTAGATGGTGGCATTTAAATGACAGCTGTGCCAGAGATATGCCTACATCTAATGGGGCTGAGTAGTCCTTGAGGAAGCCCTGCTCACATGCTAGGCAGTGGTAGGTTGCAGAGGGACACATGACTGCCTGCCAAACACATTTCAAAGGGACTTGAGTTGTTGCTTGGGTTCTGTTGGTGTGTGATCTTGTGACCCCAGGAGTGTGTGACAGGGAGAGGGATTCTGTGAGCTGAGGGAGGGTCCTGGCTCCCTAGAACATCACCTGAAAGCCTTGGTACTCTGGGTTCTCCCAAGCTCCCCAGGCATGGTCCTGTGCTGCTGGCCCATGGTGACCTCACTGTCTCCCGAACTCTCCACAGGCTTCTATTGTGTAGGGAGCCACTGCCTCCCTCCCCTCCCCCAACCTGTGGGCCCATAGCACCCTAGCTGGCCTCCAGCTGCTCCCTGCTGCCCTGGGTGCTTCCATGTCCCCTGGGGTTCATTTGTGGCTGTGAGTGGACACACCCTCCATTTCTGGTGCCTGGAAATGGGCTTGGATCCTGTAGCCCCTCAATCTGAGCCAGGCAGAGAACAGCCCTGACCATCCCTTTCTCTGTTTTCCCTGACGTCAGAAGGCAGAGTGCTTATTCACTTTGGAGGCACACTCGCAGGAGCAGAAGAAGAGAGTGTGCTGGTGCCTGTCGGAGAACATCACAAAGCAGCAACAGCTAGCAGCCTCACTGCCCGAGAGGAAGGTAAGGGCCTTGCCAGTGGCTGTCGGCTGTCGCCCTTGCGGTCTTGCTTAAGCCTTGTAACCTGGCCCTAGAGCCTTCCAACTGAGCTAGAAGTCAGTTCAAGCTAAGTCCATGGAGCTGGTCAGCAAGCTCTTGGCCAGGGGCCTGTGCCCCAAGGTTTTTCCTGCTGGGCTTTTCCTTGGGTCTGTTGTGCGGGTTTGACATTGCATACTAGAACAACAGAGCCAGACTGACCATGGCCCATCAGTTCTCGACTCTACTCTTTGATTTCCCTGTGGCAAGGCTTAATGCGGGCTGGCCTCCCTGCTGCTGCCTGACAGACGACCCCCTTCTGCCACTGGAGGGGCCATGCCTAGGGCCAGCACTCTTGTGTTTAACACTGGTCCAAGACAGACATAATTGAGGGGATGTTTGTAGCAGAACCTGTCATAGTTCAATGTAGGTCAGAGCCAAGTGGAGCCAAATTTGGACTCCTGGGTGCTGGGGCTGGCCAGCTGGAGTGTCAGGAGAGATTAGACACTGCTGGGGGAGAGGCTGATGTGGGCTGGGCTGCTCAGTGCCTGGGGAGGGTGATGGGATGTGAAGTGGCTCTTTGACACCCCCATGCCTGCCACAAAGCAGTTGTATGCTCTCATTTGTGAGGGTTCAGGTCCCCTTTCTTATTAAAATGCCAACTGTTGGGGGTTTGGGGTGGTTGTTGCAGAAGTTGCCGAGGTGGTCGCTCTGCCAGATCTGTGGAAAGGAAGGGAATGAGAAGGAGTTGCAGCTTGTGCTCATCTGCCTGTGTTCAGTCTCAGGGGGACCATGCACCTGCTTTCTGTGAACCTGCTGTCCTTGCTGCTTCTCAGTATGTCAGGCTCACTGTGTCACCTGCCCCAGGCTTTGGAGGGGGCATTGGGTGGGAGGTGGGAACAGGTGGCTTCCAGACTCTCCTGCAATTCCCCAGCAAACTGAGAAAGGAGCAAGACTCCGAGGATCACAGCACCCCAGACTTTGAAAGTTATTTTGTTTCACCCTGGTCAGAGGCAAGCTTAACAGAAGACAGCAGGACCCTTGAGTCAGACTTTGCTGGTGACTGGCAGTATGACTGGGCAAGTCACTCTGCTGCTCTGTTTTTTCTAATTTAGGGACACTAGTTCCTCCCCACAAAAGTTGTAAGAAGTAAAGGAGAAGATGCATATAGAGCTCATAGCACAGTGCCTGGTATGTGGTAGATGCCCACTCAACCATGCTATGGGGTGTACACTGCCCCTACCTACCATCCAGGGGTATCCACTGGACCCACTGTCAGGTTTCTCTTTCACACAGAGACCTGTCACCATGGCCACAGGCTGCCTTGCCCCGTTGGTCTGGAGTTAGTCACTGCCAGAGTCTGGGCTGCTCTCCCTTCTCTGGAGCAGTTCCTGGACATCAAATATCTGGACAAGTGCCAGCCCTCACCTCCTCACCAGCTTTCATTTCTTTGGGGTTAGTTCTTCTGTTCTGGGGGGAGTTCTTTGTGCCTGGCTTCAGAGTTCACTGACTCTGGAGGTGTTGGCCACAGCCTTGCAGTGCCTAGGAGACTGCTGTCCAAGGGGTATGAGGGCCTGGGGGCTGGAAGGTCTGAGACAGGTTCTGGGCACTGCAGGGCTTCAGACGCGCCTGGCTGACCCTCAAAAGGCTCCAGGGTTGGGCACCTGGCTTCAAGGCCATAGCAAATTGCATAAGCCTCCTGGCAACAGTTTGGATACCTTGTCACCCAAACTCTTCACACTTGAGGTTAGTGGAGAGGTTGTGCGTGAAAGCAAAGTGGGCCTAACTGCTGGGCAGCCTGCCAACCACCTTCGGGGCCTGCGACCCAGCTGCCCCAGACTTGCCATTGCTCTTGGCCTGCTCTTTTTACATGGCAGTTACGGAATGGGGGATCATACTGCTCAGACTTTCCCGTCCCCACCTACTCCATATTCACTTAGAGTGTTAGCAGTTTATTCCTTCCAGTTACTTACAGAATGCTTCTTGAGAGCAGTTCCAGTAAATATAACTCCCAGCTCCATATGAGCCCGGAGTAGGTAGTGACTTTGGTGAGTAGGCCCAGGTGGCTGCCCAGCCTGCCTACCCCTTCCTCTGCCTTTGTTCAGCTTCAGGTGACCATGAACCTCCTTCATCTGCCTTGCTCAGTCTCAGGGGGACCATGCGCCTGCTTTCTGCTCCTCCGAGGCATAAGAGGAAGGCCACTCCGAGCTTGGAGAGCTTTTGCTCTCTAGGTATAAAGGTCCTGCTTGACGGATACCGTGAGTGCTGGCTGAGCCTGTGCCTGTCACTCCTCCCTGTGTTCCTTGGGGAGTGCTCCAGCTCCTTTAGGACAGGACAGAGACTGTACCATCTCAAGGATGGGAAAAATTTCCCAAACTCAAAAACTGTATAAAGACTATTTGCCCTGCGTGACATAGATGATTGTTGGGGAGGATGGAGGGAATAGAGAAGGATGGGCTGGAAGAACAACAGAGGGGGTCCCTGGTGTCACCATCTGTTCTGTGATCTTTGACAACCACTTTCTGCCATAGCTTCAGTTGGTCCCATTAGCACACTGGTCAAGTAGCTGTTTCTGACTTTTCAAGCTTTGGGATTACGGAAGCTGAGAGCCTAGGGCCATCTGGTTTCTATTAGGGAGCCGTACCCTGAAGAGTTCTGCATAACTTGACTTTAGTGACATGTGCTGCCTTTGGGATGGTGGTAGGGGTTGGGGCAGGCATAGGTTGGGCTGTGTGGATTCCTAGCTGGGCAGAATAGACATGTGAGGCAGGTGTGTTTGAACAGGGATCTGTTGTCTTTCTCCTATTCATTCTTCATGAGCGCTATAGGTAGGGGTGGGTTTTTCATAGAAATAAATGACCAGCTGTCTCTTCTATCCGATCTGGCCTTCTCCTGCTCTGAACCCACTCTTCCCCCTCAGAGCTGTGCCCCTCTCTTGCTACCTGTTCCTGGAGGGCATCCACGTTTCATCTTCAGCCTGGATGGCTTGTACCATGCTCCCTGCACTAATTTCCCAGCACTTTTGAGAAGCTTCTCATTTAGATCAACTCAGAGTTGGTCCCGCTGTGGCCAGTGAGGTTCCAAACTGGTAGAGAGAGGCAGATGTGCATTATTTTGGTTATCCAATTAAATGTATACAATGTATAAATGTCTCTGTGTCCCAAATGGGTTTGGGACCTTTGGGGTCATACTGATGAACGAAACTTGGTTCCTGCCATTACAGAATTGTGCTAATAGGGTGAGAGGATGAAGGAGTTAGGGTGGTGATCCAAGTATTAGAGGCCATGCCTGCCAATCTAAGTGTGGAGGGTCCTGGGTGTCATTCATGTTCTACACAGTGAGCCTCTTGCTATGCAGTCCCATGTACACAAGCTGGGCTGGGCTCCCGAAAGCCTTCTGAGCCCCCAGCCCTCAGGGGCAGGGAGGGAGGGAGTGCAACATAGATAGACTGACCCCATCCTCAGGGTGGGCTCAGGGTGCTTTGGGATCAGTGAAGAGGAATCTGTCACACCGTGTACTCAGGAGATCTCGGTGGAGTGGTGGGGATGAATATAGCAATGGCCAGTTCAAAACAACACAGTGGTGATGTGACCTCAAGGCGAGCCACCTGGCCTGTCTGAGACTCAGGCGTTTCATCAGTAAAGTGGATGGATCAAGAGGGCTGTTGTGAGGATTATATTGTACCTCGCTGGGCAGAGAGGTACACAAGAAGACCTCTGGGAGCTAGCTGCTGCTCCCATTCTGTCACTGCTTTGTAAGTGATGTCTGTAGAGGAAGAGTCATCTGGTGTCCTTAATTATGGAAGTTGATGCTAGTGCTCTGAGCACACGCGACGACTGCTCCATGGCACTTCCTGGTAGCTACTTACTGTATTTCAGGGTCCAAGCAGGGAAACTGAGGCCTCTTAGGTCTGCCCTGACTGTGAGACTTCTTCTAGACGTGATGCTGAGGTGTGTAGCACTTTGTAATCTCCTCTCTGACGGCTAGAGATGGGCCTCAGAGATACAAGGTACTGAGTGCCTTAAAAAGGAACAGAGGCAGGTCTTGGAGTCAGCTAGTCCTTGCCTGAGTAGACAGCAAGCTAATTCCAGTTCTGTCTGGTTCCACAGAAACTCCACCCTTACGGCTCTCTCCAGCAGGAGATGGGGCCGGCCAACTCCACCAATGCTACCCAGGATAGAAGCTTTACCTCATCAGGACAGACTCTGATTGGCTGAGTAAACCCAAGGGCGGGACTCTGCTTCTGGCAACTTAACCCTTTCTGGGGCATCCCCTACCACACAGTAACCTCACCTCAACTGGACCCAAAACGGAGGACCAAGATGGTGGGACTAGGGTCATCTTCAGGGAATGGTCCTAAGGGTGTGTGTGGACTGGCAACAGGTGAATCAGTGGTGCAAGAGGCCCTGTGGGCACGTGCAGACTGGCAACAGGAAGTTCTGAAGACTCAGAAGCTTGTTCCTTCCAAGAAGAAGGCTAAATGGCATCTGGGCACCCACCTTGGGGGCAGCAGGTGATGGGAGAGGTCACCTCAATGAAGAACAATGCCATGACCTGTGTTGCCTGAAGACATCTCCACCATTCACTCACTCTTCATTGGGACACATTCATTTGTTCATTCAGTGGATATCTGGGGGCATCTCTGGTGGCAGGCTCTGGGCTAGGAGCTTGGGGATACTTTGGAGAACCAGATGGGCATGGCTTCTGCTCTCATCAAGATTCCAGTCCTAGTAGGGAGTGAGCATTAAATAAATCAGCATCAGCACACATGTGATCACACCCTGGGAGAAGTTGTGCAGGAGCAGGGCAAATGCCTTTAGAGGAATTATATCTAGATTGCTCCATGTAGGGGTTCAGCTAGGGAAAGACATGGCTGAGACCTACGGGCTGGAAAAGAGCAAGCCATCCAAGGACTTGGGAGAGGACATTCCAGGTAGATGGAACAGCATGCAAGAGTTCCTGAGATGGGAAGGAGCTTGGCATGCTGGAGAAGCCAGGAGAGGCCAGTGTGGCTACAGCCTAGGGAGGAAGAAGGAAGGCAGGCAAGATTGTGTAGCACTCAGGCAGTGAATGTTTTATTAATTTCATTGTAGATGAAGTAGGGAACCATGGAAGGCCTTTGAGAGAGTGGCACACTCTCAGGAACATTTCTACAAGAGCTGATGGCAGATAGGAGAGAATCAAGTAGGCATGGGTTTCCCCAGTTAGGGAAACCTTCAGTCCAGCACCTACAGGATGGCTGGAGTGTTGGGTGTCTGAATGCCAGACTCTGGGATGAGAAGAAATAACTCCCTCCCCTGCTCTACCACCTGCCCTCATCTTCCACCTGGTCTTGCTCCCTTGGTGGTTGTGAATGAGCTTTGAGGCCTTCCTCACAGAGCTGCTTCTGGCCAAGTCTAAGCTATGGACCAATGCTGAGTTTCTGGAGAGTCCCTGGAGTTGGGGGTGCTGAGTACTCAGCCTGGTCCTCGGGCCTCTGCAAGAGTTGCCTGTGCTGCCTCTCCATACTGTGCTGGGCTGTCAGATGGGGGCTGGAACTCAGTGCTCAGACAACTGACTTGGTTTTCTTTCTGTTGGGTTCCTAAGGGTCAGGGACCAGGGTGGGAGTGGCTCAGCAACTCTTGTGGAAAGCATCCTGCCTCAACGTGACGGGAAGACCTATCAAGAGCCAGGGCTGAGATTGCAGCCCACTTGCTGCCTGCTGTAGCCCCAGCCAAAACTCAGGGTCAGACAGTTCTTATGCCTTTTCTAACTCCTAAGACCTAGGAGGAGGGAAGCCCACAGTTACAGGTCAGAGAGACATGGTTCATATGCAAAAGGGGTCTACATGATGGGGTTATTTGAAGAAAGAGGTCAGAGAGGCTGGAAAGGTGGTTCAGGCCAGAGAAACCCCTGGCCATGGACACACTCTGTGTTGTGCAATACCTCAGTGTCTTTAGAGAAGGTTTTTGTGCCCTTGTGAGTTTTCTCAGCTGCTTTGGCCAGCTGAACACCAAAAACAGTGCCCTAGAAAGAATATGCTTCTTGCCTTCCATGTAGGAAGGATCAGGCATACTGGTATAACTGTGTAGAAGGGGACAGGATGGCTCTGCTGGTGACCAGGCTAATGCCCCTGCCCAGCAGGTAGACAGATGCTGCCTGAATAAAGACAAACGATTCACAGCTTCTCTACCCACCAGGGCTTGGCCCCCAAGGTGAATCTGAGCAGCTGAGCAGCTGGGTTTGCAGAGACAGCAAGCTGCACTTTGATTTCATTTGGTTTTCTTACAAAATGACATTAAGGGGAATGTGAGGCACAGGAGAATGGCGTGTCTGGAAGGCAGCAAGCTTGTCTGTCCTGGGCCTGCTGACAGACAGGTTTAGAGCACAGGCGCTGTGGCCTCAGAGAAAGGAGAATCTGAATGCAGTAACTGGCCCTGGGGACAGAACTTTCCTCCCAGTGTGTCCAACAGTCTGCTGAGTGGACCACACCCTCTCATCAAGGTCCCAGGTCGACAGCTGGTGGAGAGGTGGACATGCACTCCTGCTGGGCCCTGGGCTGCTCCACCCAGCAACTGGGGCTCACCACAGCACCACTGCAGCTCCGCCTTGTGAATCGATGCAACTTTTAATTTGGCTCCACTGGCTTGTGAAGATGAAATATGACCTGATGGCCACTGCTCTGCAGCATCCTGGGCCATCCCAGCTGTTCAAGATGACGAACAAGCTATCAAAACTGCATCTGAGAGTCATAATCACGGGAAACATGGCCGGGCTCCTCCCCACCACATAAATCACCCTAAGAAGCACACAATGGGCTTTTTCCTGATGGGCCGATTGTCTTGGTTTGGTGTCTCAGGACTTTGGAGCTGGGAGGCTGAGAGAACAACTATGTGTTGTCAAAAAGGCCATCTGTGCAATTTGAATACAAAGTGGCCCTTTTAGTTCCCCACACACCCTCTGTTTTCATGTGTTCTTATGTCTCAGGCTCTGGGCTTCTGGAAACACTTGTCTTTGGCATTTGGAGCAACATGAACATTTTGAAAATAATGACACTGATTGGTGTATGTCTTTTTTAAAAATTCTTTTGATTTTTAATGTTTTTTTTTCTTAAATGCTGCCACCAAACCCCTATTTTGCCACTCTTGCTACGAGGGCATCAAGAAGGTTCTACAAGGGGGAGGGACAGGCAGCTTTGCAGTGTGGTAGGGTTCCCCCACAGTGAGATCCCCAGGGCATGTACTTTGGAGATGGCAGCCAGGGTCCCCCAACGTCATTTCTCCTAAGCCTCTTGGCAGTCCCATTTTATGGACAAGGGTGACCAGGCTCTGAGAAGTTAGGTGACATATCATAGGTCTCACAGCTGGTAACTGGTTGAATTACTCCTTAAGCTCAGATCTTCCAGCTAAATCCACTGCTCTTTCTAGATGAAAAGCTTTGCTTTTAGGAATAGAAGTAAGAGCATTCATTCATTCATTTCATATCGAAAGAGGCAGGAGGCAGGGGCTAACAGGTACCAGTGGGTACCAGAAGTGGTGGCCCACTCTCTAGCCATAGAGAATACTTTCTGGACTTTCTCTGCTTGGTGGAGAAGAATTCTAGTTCTTCTAGTATCCACTTCTCTGTGGAGTGGCACAGGCTGGAAAGATCAGTTGCTCCTCCTAAGAGGTGGAAAGGAGTGTGACAACTCTGAGCTCCTACGATGGCTCCCAGGCGGTGCTGGGACTGCTGGGTTGTGCTCGTCCCCTCTAGAATCTGGTGGTCAAGAGGACCAGCTGATGCAGAAATGTCAGAGGCAGAAAGGGGCAGCTTCAGGCTCAGGCCTGGCTTCTGAGCATCAGCGCCTGAGGAGGCTTTGACCTGAGCCCAGCTGAGAATCTGCCGCTGCTGGCTCACTCTGCAGGGTTTTGTGCCCAGATTTTGCTAATTAGCTGACTTAAGATCTCAGCTCTCAGTAATTGAGAATCAAATGGGTTGGATTTCAGTGCTCCCTCCAACCTCTTTTCTCCAACAGCACAACTGTTTTCCAGCTTTCCTGCCCCACTCCCTCAGTGTCTGTCTGTCTGTGGACAGACCGCCTTCCTTGCTGTCATGTTCTTCTTTTTCCTCGTAAGGAACAGAGAACAACTCTACCCACTCCTGTCTTGTCCTTCTCTTTCCCCAAGCCTGTCTCTGAAGAGAGTTGCTTGCCATCCTCAGAACTACTCCCAGATCTTTGGTTTAGGGCAGAGTGATGACAGTAGGTAATTTAATGAGCACTCATACTGTGAGGCCTGGGACATTATCTCTTTTTATCCTCACGATAGCCTTATGAGGTTCATTGTCCTGTTACACAGTTACTCCCATTGTACCCCCTTTACAGATGAAGCCGTTGAGTCTTAGAGAAATTAAGAAACTTGCCCAAGGTCACACAGCAGATGGCTGGCTAGGATTGCAATCCAGGGCAGCCTACCTCTGACTCTTCTTCTGTTCGACTGCTGGGAGGGACTGGGGAGGCTGAGAAGTCGTGCTACTACCTAAAGGCCATCGAAGGGGGTGTGACTTCCACATAAAGCCCAGCTCTCCACTTGGCTCTTGGCTGCACTGCCCTCCTGTTTTGCTCTCGAAGCCTGGCCACACAGGACAATTCACCCTCTCCAAAGTCCCTGTGCCTACTCATATGGGGGCTGCTCCTTCTGCCTGGTGCTACCCAAACGTCTTTGCTGTCCCTACCCGCGGCGGTCTTCAGACCTGGAGGGTAAGCACCATGCCTAGGCCTGCATCAGAAGCCATTGCTTCCCTTGGTGCTCTCCAGAGGATTTTGAATTATTTGTGCTCAGCTGAAACTTTCTTCTAGAAGGAGATAGCAAGGTAGAAAGTCCAATGTTGGGTGGGGAGGAGGAGGTCCCAAAAGAGGACAGGAGAGGGAAAGTATGGGAACAGCAGGCCTCTCATAAGTTACCAGGGTTCTATATCAATAAATCCCTTCCCTAAACTCCATGTGTATGCTTGATGTCAAAAGTCCTTATGTGTTCATCATATGAGATGTGATCAAAATATCAATGAATGTTCAAGTTAACATTTAGTAAATAAAAGACACACTGCCATTAATCTCCTTCAAAATGTTCTTCCAGCTGGGGGTACAGCTCAGTGGCACAGCGCCTGCCTGGCAAGTATGGGGTTGTAAGTTCAATTCCTGGTACCCCCCCCCCCACGGCAAAGGTGTTTTTCCTTGCTTCCAACACACTTAGCCCTGCCTTCTTGTCACTTTCTGAAGCTGTTCTGGAGTTTTGCTTTGTGTCTTTACAAGGTCTGATCAAAAATACAGTGAAGGCCGCTGCCCAGTCCATCCAGTAGAGGGGCAGGTTTATAAAAACATTGTGGGTGGCCTCACCCATGTCATTCACAGATCTGCTACTACATGACTCCTGTTTCCTCCCCCAAAAGCCAACATGACTGTGAAAGGTAAATATTTTGAATCACTTCTGAGCATAGAGGCAGTCATAACAGTGCAACTAGAGATACTTGTGAAAGAGGACTTGCAGAACCGCTTCAGAATATGGCAAGAATGGTGGGACAAGTGGGTTCAGGGTGAGGGAGTTAATGGCACGGTGTCTCTTACTGTAATAATTTTTTAAAATGTGAACATTCACTTGATTTTTTGAACACATCTCATACATTGCCTGCAAGACTGCAAACTGCCAGGGAACAAGAGGAGCACACGTTTGACTTGTTTCTCGCTTTGTTGTTGCCTAGTTCATAGTAGGTGCTCAGTAGATGTTGGAGAATTGGGTTGGACTAGTAAAGTTCAATCCTCCTATGTTTAGAACATGGATGAGGAAACAGGGTCTAAAAGGGGAATTGACCTGGCCAAGTCGGTATCATAGCTAAGAGTAGAACGCAGGTCAGCTGACTCTCTTGGCTGAGGGGGTTTTTTGTTTGCAGCTGCCACGGCAGGCCTGGATTCCCACTTGGCTTGTGGAGCACTCTGGCCAAGTTCATATCAGGGTCATGGATAACATCGTGTTCTCCAGCTGATGTGGGACATCCCCGGAGGAAAAGATGCCTCATAAAACTGTTGCTATGGTTCTTTTCTCCTGGTTTTGGGCCTCCCCACTCTGAACATTTTGCCTAGAAAATCAGAGTAGGATCCTGAAGCAAGAGCAGTCAGGAGACTGCTATAGTACTTACTGTGTGACCTCAGACAAATAATTTAGCCTGTCTGTTCATCTCTTCCTTACCAAGAAAAATGAAGGAGCTGAATTCCAGGTGACCTCTAGAAATCACCAGATCCCAAACTATTAGAAAAAACAATAAGGATCAGAATAGAGAAAGGTAGAGACCCTGCTCTAGTGCAGGAATTTGTTTTGTTTCTTCATCATAGTGACACAGGCACGAGCCCACTCCCTTGAAACAATTTGTGGGATTGCAGAGGGGAGAATGGACAGGCTGTAAAGCTTCAGGGTAAAGCTTTAACAGGCCAAAGGAAGGAAGGAAACAGACATTTTGGTCTTCACAGTGAAACAACAGTGTATACGGGTGGATATCTGTAAATGTTGTAGCTGGGTTATGTTTGTCACACACTTACAATGCATAGGTAAGCTTAGAGACCTTATTCCAGGAGGGATCCTCGTCTCAGACAGTCTAAACTAAAAATCCACTCCTTCTTCCTCTGCATCCGAGGTGCCTCTTTGAGCTCCTCCAGGGAGGCCAGCACAAAGCTGTCCAACTTAGTACCTCCCCTCCCCTCCCTGCTTTCTGCTCAGGTGGTCGGGCACATAGGTGATTCTTGTTTGAACTTCGTGGTATGCTCTGTACCCTTTCCAACTGCTAGTTAATGGCATCAAGCTAATTTTTAAGTAGAATATGTACTAATTTTTCATTTCTGGTGTGGTCAGAAGTCTCCTTCAAACCCTCTACCAGGAGTTACCATTGAATTTTTCATTGCTTTTAACACCTATCTCACACTATATAGACGACATTACTGTAGATAAATTTTCTAAAAAGATACCTTTTAAGTGTTAGTGATTTTCCACTGTTGGCTTATTCTTTTATTGGAATATAGTTTTTCTAGCCTTTCTCCTTGGTGGAAGAACATTGAGGGTCAAGCGGGCTTTCCTAGGAAACTGGCCACTGGTTTATAACACAGTTGCAATGGGAATGTGCATTCTGAGCCCTGTACTCAACTCTCGGAAGACTTTGGGAACAAAACCCATCATGTACCTAAGAGCAGAGACAATACAGTGCTTACGCTGAGTAGCTACAAATTTGGTAGAACCGTACATAGAATTTTTGAATGGGACTGAAAAGCTTCCCCCAAGAGATGCTAAGACCAAAGAGTGGCAAAAACTTAGCCAAGGACCCGGAGCTGGGGGCTGAAGATTCTGCCAGGTTTGGGAGTGGAAGGGCCACAGATTGCCTTAGAGGGTTCTCCTTCTCTTGCTCAGCAACCATCTGTGCTATGTCATAAGCCACCACTTTGAGCTGTAATGGAAAGAGAAACTAGTCCACCTAATAGTGAGAGGAGAAGTTGTCTAGCCGGCTGTCTTGTCTAGAAATTCCTGGCACACTCTTGCTGGAGTGGAATGAATGGACGGCTGTGTTTTACCTGGAGCTTGGAGTGCAGTGGGGCTGGTGAAGTTGCTCCCTGAGGTCTGTTCTAAGAATAGCAGTGGGACAGAGCTGGAGGAAGAGGAGGGGTCTCCTGGGGGAACTGGGTGGGGACGCCTCCCCCTTCCCCTTCCTGCCAGGCCCTGTGTGAAGAAGTCCCACAGACTCACAGAATCCAGATCTGGGAGCTTCTTGGAGTACTCACCCGCCGCCTCACACAAACCTGGAGACACAGAGGAGGAAAGGCCTGGCCAGCAGTCACGGGCTGGAGCCGGTCCCAGAGGTGGTTTTTTTCCTCCTGCTGTTTCAGAGGGCGGCCTCGGCCCTTGCATAGACTTTTGTCATTGTCTCTGGGTGCAGAGTGCCTGGGAACTCCTGGGACCGGATGTGGTTTGGCTTCCTGAGAGTCGCCCAGCAGGCGAGGAGTCCCCTGGCTGGTTCACCCTGTGCCCTGACCTTGGCCAGCTGGCCTTCAGCGCCATGTCTTCCGCTTGCTGATGCTGGCCCCTCCTTTGCTGGTTTGTCCTCCTGTCCCCTCCTCAACCATCTGCAGGAAGTCAGGATGGGGACTAACACAGAACTGGCCCGCAAGAGAGAGGGCCTTAAGGCGCAGGTCCATTCTTTGCCTTTCCCAGGAATGAGGCCAGTGGAGGCAGCTAAGGGTTGGGGATTCCAGTACCAGCTCTGTCACTCACCAACTGAGGGGTTACTATAAAGCAAGGCAGGAACACCCACCACACACACGCTGTCTTGTGGTGATCAGAGGGGAAGGCTGTGCAAAGCGTCTCTTACACTGCCTGTGGTGAGTTAAGTCTTCAGAAACAGGAGAGACCCTCGTGGCATCAGGAGTGAATACCTGTCTAACTCTGTATCCCCCTTCCTTGGGGCCTCCTTCCGTCAGAGCCTGGCATGGTTAGCTCTGCTATTTTTAAAATGCAATTGACTTTTTTGTTGCATTGTAAAATTAATTCATGTAATAATGTTTATTATGAAGAAAACATTTAATACAGATGAGCCAGGAGAAGGAAATTAGGTTTATCCCTAATTTCAGAACCCAGGGATAACATTTTGGGGGGATTGTATCAGGTTGTTCATATTCACATGTATCTTATTGGTGAAATGGGGTTACTGGTGCAGTTTTCTAATCTGCTTTTTTCCTTTCAAAATGCAATGTATTCATGCTTCCCTACCAATAAATATTCTTCCATGGCATCATACTTAGTGTCTTCAGTGTATTTCATGGTGTAGATGAAACACATGTAAATCATCTCCAGTACTTTGCCGTTCAGGTTTTTCCAGTTTTTTCTCTTTACAAAAATCAGAGGGAAAAAAAATCCTTGCAGATGTATCTTGGTATCCCCAGCATCCAGTTCAACACCTGGTACATGTTTTGTGTTCAATAAATATTTGTTGAATGAATGAACAGTTTGTAGAAATAAATTCCTGGTAGTGAAATTTCTGGGTCAAATGGTGTGTGTTTGTAAGATGGGTCAGGATCCACAGCTGAATCATCCTTCAGAATGACTGAACTCTTTCTACCCCGAGCTTACCCCGAGCAGCTCATTCTGTGTTGCCTGAGTTGGGCTTTCCCTTTTTATCACTGAAAATCCTGTTTCTTGGGAAATGGAGAGGTCTTAGTCAGAGCGTCCAGATGGACTCTCAGACCATTTCCCTGCCCCTTACGCAGCACTGTGCACTGTTACTTTTTAAACAGGTTTCCTTCTTTGATGACCAGAGATGTTCAGTGTTTGTTTTTACGCTTTCCAGTCCCTCATGTTGCCCATCTGAGGGGAGCCTGATCAAAGTCTTTTGCCCATTTTCTTATGAGGCTGTTTAGAAGTTGAATTATTCACTCACGAAAACTCTTTATATGGTAAGGTTGTTTTGAGGCCTTTTATTTTTATTACTTCTTTAAATGATGGGTGATTCTGGTTTATTCAGTATCTATAAATTGTTTTGGTAACGGTTTTATTGAGCCATAATTCAAATGTCATACAAGTCCTCCACTTAAGGTATATAATTCAGTGGTTTTTAACAAATTCAGATTTGAACAATGAATACCACAATTAATATTATAACACTTTATTATCTTGAATAAATTATAACCTTCAGCTATGACTCCCTAGTTCCCCTGTCTCTTCCAGTCATAAGCAAAAACTTCTCTGCCTTATTTCTCTGTATATGTATAGTGGACATTTCATATAAATGAAATCATACATTTGGTCTTCTGTGATGGCTTTTGTATTTAGTATGTAATATTTTCAGATTCATCCATGCTCTAGATGTATTAATTCTTTTGCATGGCTGAATAATATTTCATTTTGTGGATATACCACATGTTGTTTAACTGTTCATCAGTTGATGAACACTTGGATCGTTCCCACCTTTTGGCTATTATGAATTATAATGCCATAAATATTTGTGTGTAAGTCTTTGTGTGAACATATGCTTTTATTTCTCTCAGGTGTACACTTAGGAGTAGAATTTCCAGGTCAGATGGTATCTGTGTTGAGCTTCTGAGGGACTGCCACACTATTTTCCAAAGTGACTATGCAATTTTACTTTCTTACCATCAGGGAATTGGAATTCCAAACTCTGTGCATTCTTGCTAATGATTATTATTTTTCCATTTAAAAAAAAATCATAGGCATCTTAGTGGGTGTGATTTTTGAACCCTCTTTTCTGGATGATTAACATCATATCTATAAATTTAACCAAATATTTTTGCATTTGGCATTGGGGTATTCATCCCAGGATTTTATAATGCTTTATCCTTCTAAAATTTATGGTTTTATTATTCAACTTTTAACATTTTAAACTATGTGGAATTTACTTTGGATTATAGTGTGAGACAGAATATTTTTCCTTTTTTCCAGTTATTTGCCCCAGTGCTTGTACGTTATCTTAGGGCAAGCACTCTGTCATTACTCTTCTTTTAAAATTGTTTTCCTTTCTGTTATTACATATTAATTCTTTTAAATGAAATTCTCTGTATGTGATTTTGTTTTTCAGCGCTGGGGTTTGAATCTGTGGTCTTGTCCCTGATAGATAAATGCTCTTACCATTTAGCTACAACCGCAGCCCTGGCTTTATTATAATTTTATAGTTTAGGCACCACCCAAACCTACCCTCCCTTCTTATACCCCTCCCAAAAATTCTCTTTGAGATTTTTATGGGAATTATATTTAAAAAATACACCTAAAGAGCCAGGCATAGTGGTGCATGCCTGTATCCCAGCACTCAGGAGGCTGAGGCATGAGGTTTCCTGTGAGTTTGAGGTCAGCCTGTGTTACAAAGTGAATTCAAGGCCCACTTGAACTCCATAGCAAAACCTTGTTTCAAAAAAAAAAAAAAAAACCCACATAAAATAAGAATATTAAAATCAATGCAATACAATCTTTTCCCTTGGGAATAGGATTCTCTCTCTTCAATTATACAAATCTTTTAAAAAAAGATTATTCCAGGTAAGGAGGCAAGTTTCATATAAGATTTACATATTTTTTTGAGGAAATATGTATTTTTATTCTTTCTTTGTTTTGTTACTGGGGCTTCAACTCATGACCGAGTGCTTGCAAGGAAGGCGCTTATGCCACGGAGCTAAATCCCCGGCTATATTTGTATTCTAATGAGTAGGAATATTTATTTATTTAGCATTGCATATGTCCTTTAGCTGATTATATATTCATACCAAACTTATCAAAAATTCTAAGCAGGGGCTGGGATGTAGCTCAGTGATACAGTGCTTGCCTAGCATGAAGGAAACTGGTTTGATCCCTAGCGCTGCAAAACAACAGGAGCCAGAACACACACACACACACACACACACACACACACACACACACACAGAGCCAAAAACCACACAGTGCTAAAAAACTAAATTTAGAGAACTGAATCAATTCAAGAAAACATCCCTAATTCCTCCAACCTTTTCCCATCATCAGTCGCTAATAGTTTGGTGTAATTCCATCAAATCCATTTCCATGCAATTTTAGTTTACTAAATAGTATCATATTACACGTAAGTTTCTGTAACTCCTATATAAAATGTTATTATAGAAATCTTTCACATTAACATCTAAGTTCTCTGTATTTTTAGCAGCCAATGAATGATAATTTCCCCGTGAAGGGCTTAGGCTGTTGATCATGCTTTGATATTGCGAGCCATGTTGCAGCGAACATAATGAGAATGTACTGTGCATTATGTCTTGCTGCGCTGTTCTATGGGGTAACGTGGGACAGACACTACGAGAGTGCTCAACAATGATTTGCTGCTGTTGACACATGTTATTTACCCAACACTATTGTTATTATCCCCATGTTATAGAGGGAAAAACAAAAGAGCAGCTACGGGAAGTGATGTACGATTCGCATCCCCACTGGCAGTGAACGGGGCTGCCCATCTCCCTGCTCCGTGCTAGCTAGCGGGGGATGGTATTGTTCTTGTCAATCTTTACTAAGATGAGAAGTGAAAAATTGGTGAGGTCGGGCTTTTTATATTTATTAGTTTCTCCTTATAGCTTCATATACTTCTATATATTTTTGGCTCGTCAGATGATAACATATATATAGTTTTCTTATTTGTAATAGGTTTTTTTTTTTTTTTTTTTTTTTAGGGGAGGAGGAGGGATTTCAGGTAAGATCTTACTAAATAGTCCAGGTTGGCTTTAAATTTGTGATCTTCCTGCTTCAGCCCTTGGAACAAGGGCTCGGATTCTAGGTGTTTGCCACCCCACCTGACTTGTAAGAGCTCTTTATATGGTTTGAAAATTAACCATGTGCTCATTATGTAAGTTATAAATATTTTTCCAGTTTATTATTTATCTTTTAACTTATTTATATTGTTGCTTGCTATTTAAATACTAACTTTTTTGAGACAGGATCTAGCTGTGTTGTGTAGACTGACTTCACTCATCCTCCTGCCTCAGCCTTCTGAGTAGAAATATTAACTATTTTTGATAATCAAGTTTTTGGATTACTATCTTTTTTTTTCCTGAGGGAATAGACTATACTTTCTAAGGGCTTTCCTATCCTGAAATTATAAGGAATATGACTTTTCATAAGTTATAAGGAATATGACTATCCTTTTAATTTTGCATTTGTATTTTTAATTCATCTCCAGTTAATTTAGTGCCTAGAGCTTTCGTTACTCTTTCTGTCCAAATAGTGGACCAGCTTTTCCAACCCCATCTTGCCAACCATTCTTTCTTTTTTCATTTATCATAGATCAAATTTCCATATATAGGTGGGTTAGGTTCTAACTCTCTCTTCTCCTTCATTAACCTATTTTTACACCAGGTCAAGACTTAGTTGCTATGACTTCATGTTATGTAGTGAAAGGTAACAAGGTCAACCCTCATGTTTCTTCTGTGAAATTCCCTTGAAGTTATGTACCCTAACTCTAGCTAGCTGTTGGTTTTACCTGCCCTTCCCACATGTATATTTCAATGACAGGCACTGACCCAAATCTATAATAATTTGTCCTCACCTCTTAAAACTCACAATGAGCCTCCCTACCTCCTAGGCTCAGTGAGGATCATCTGGAACTTCAGTTTCTGATTGTTATGGTTTTTAGACACTAGTTGCATTGTGTTATAAGAATCACTTATTTAAAATTGCCTCTAACCCTTAATTATACTGTTATTACAAATGTTTCTGCTTTCATTGCTTGCTACTCTCTTTACCACAGTTTTTATCTTTGACTTGTGAGATTTGTTTTTGTTTGGACTGCTTTCTTGAATAATTTTTTTTTTTTCAGAAAGATCTGGAGGTTGTATGGTTCTTTGTTTTTTCTATACTGGGGAACTAAACCCAGAACCTTAGCACTAAGCAAAATCCCCAGTCCTTAAAGAAAATTTTATTTTTAATTTTGAGATAGGGTCTCACTAAGTTGCAAAGTTGCTCAGGCTGGGCTTGAATTTGCAATCGTCCTGCTTCAGTCCCCCAGAATGCTGGCATTACAGGCATGCACCACAATGCCCAGCTATGGTATATCTTTTAAATGCTTGTGAGTTGGACAGTGTTTGCTCTCATACCTGAGTCATAGTTTGCTTGAATAAAGAATTCTGGGCTGATGGTCCTTCTTCCCAAGAAACCTAAGAGTCATGCTTAGTGATTTCCTAAACTTTTATGTCATTCAAAACCCACAATTTACTTGAGTCTCTCAAATTTCTTATGGAAATAAGCAGCATTTCTTTTTTCCAGTCTTTGGAATTTGGAAA